CCCCCCGACGAGAGCAGCACCTTGACGACGTGGAGGTGATAATAGATTTACAGCGGCAGAACGAGGTTATGCAGCAGCAGATCGTGGAACTCACACGTCGCCTAGCGGTGCGAGATTTGGAAGATCATGAGGAGTCAGATCACGGCTCCCGATCATCGTTTGAGAACCCGTATCATCGCGAACCTCGCGGTCGTGATTTTCGCGTTCGTGGTGACTATTGCGGAGGGCTAGGGTTTAAGGTGGAAATCCCTAGTTTTTCAGGAACCCTGCATGCTGATGATTTCATTGACTAGCTGAACGAGGTGGATCGGATCTTTGAGTATAAGGACGTTCCTGATCGTGACAAAGTGAAGCTCGTGGCAATCAAACTCCATGGACGAGCCTCTGCATGGTGGGAACAGATGCGGCGATCTCGTGAGAAGAAGGGCAAGCCAAAGATCAATGATTGGGAAAAGATGAAGGGTAAGATGAGAGCACACTTTCTTCCCTTCGGATACACACAAACCCTATTTCAACGACTCCAAACGTTGAGGCAGGGAACGAGGTCCGTTGATGATTACACCGAAGAATTTTACCAGTTGATTGCCCGCAACGATCTGTCTGAATCGGAGGAGCAGCTTGTGGCCCGATATATGGCGGGCTTGCGTCAGTCGTTGCAGGATGTTCTCAACCTCCATTCATTATGGACTGTTTCTGAGGCATACAAAAGGGCCCTTCTAGTTGAGAAGCAGCAGAACAGGAAGCCGGTGACCAACAACCGCCCGGCTCGGCCCCAAGAGCCTCGACTGACCACACAGGGAGTCCAAGGGACGCAGGGAGCTTCGAGTAGTACGATTAAGTGCTATCGTTGTGGTGAACCTAGACATAGGGCGAATGAATGCAAGAAACCCGCTCTACAGAAGAGGAAGAGCCTGTTCGTGGAGGAGAACATCGTTGTTGACGATGATGAAGTTGAAAATTATGATGATTATGCAGAAGATGATGTTCTTTACGGGGATGGTCGAGAGAATTTGGTTGTGCGCAAGAGTCTTCTGGCCCCAAAGGATGATTCTAAAGACGATTGGTTGAGGACAAACATCTTCCACACAACCTGCACCATTGGAGGAAAAGTTTGCAAGATGATCGTGGATGGTGGTAGTTGCGACAATATTGTCTCTGACGAAGCTGTCCGGAAATTGCAGTTGAAGATAGAACGCCACCCCAAACCCTATAAGTTGTCTTGGCTACACAAGGGTTCCGAGGTGACAGTTGACAAGAGATGCCTTGTTTCCTTTTCAATTGGGAACAAGTATCATGATAGTCACTGGTGTGATGTCGTGAAGATGGATGCATGTCACATTCTTTTGGGAAGACCTTGGCAGTATGATCGTAGTGTTATACATGATGGACGAAAGAATACCTATTCTTTTGTCATGAAAGGCAAGAGGATAATATTAGCACCACGTCGAGAGGACCCTCCTCCACCCTCAACAGAAGGCCCTACTAATATGCTATCTAGGTCCAAGTTCCTAGAGGAGGTTAAGCATGAAAAGGTGGTTTATGCATTGCTGCCTTGTGATGACCAAGCAGGTGATGAAGACAGTGACTTACCTGTGGAGGTGCAGCAACTTCTAAATGAGTTCTCACACTTGATGTCTGATGAGCTACCTCCTGGTTTACGACCATTGAGGGACATCCAACATCAAATTGATTTAGTCCCAGGCTCTAACCTCCCAAACAGACCAGCATATCGTCTCAGTCCCAAAGAGGTAGAAGAATTGCAGCGACAAGTTGTAGAGTTGCTTGAAAGAGGCTATGTCAGGGAGAGCATGAGTCCATGTGCAGTTCCAACCTTGTTGGTGCCGAAGAAAGATGGTTCTTGGCGCATGTGTGTGGACAGCAGGGCCATCAACCGCATCACGGTGAAGTATAGATTTCCCATTCCCCGACTTGATGACATGCTAGATCAACTTTCCGGCTCTAAGATCTTTTCCAAAATTGATCTTAAGAGTGGGTACCATCATATTCGAATCAAGCCTGGCGACGAATGGAAGACCACGTTTAAGACGCAGCATGGGTTGTATGAGTGGATGGTGATGCCGTTTGGTCTGTCCAAAGCACCTAGTACGTTCATGCGGTTCATGCACCAGGTCTTGAGACCTTTTATGGGAAAGTTTGTTGTTGTTTACTTTGATGGCATCCTTATCTATAGTCCATCTTGGGCTGCCCACTTTGAACATTTGCGTGCTGTTTTTGAGGTGCTGAAAGCGGAGACTTTATTCATCAATAGAAAGAAGTGTTTCTTCTTTACTACCTCCGTTCAGTTCCTGGGGTTTGTGGTTTCTGTTCATGGTGTGCATGCAGATCCCTCGAAGATTGAGGCCATTGTGCAGTGGCCTAGACCCAGAACATTGCATGACGTTCATACCTCTTTTTATCGCAGATTCATTAGGAATTTCAGCACTTTGATCGCGCCCATTACTGAGTGTCTCAAGGGACGTGACCTCCAGTGGACAGATGCCACGGAGTCCAGCTTTGAGAAGGTGAAACAGAAGATGACGGAGGCTCCAGTATTAGCCCTCCCTGATTTTGACAATGTTTTTGAGGTCATTGGTGCGTCTGGTGTTGGCATTGGAGGTGTGCTTAGTCAGGCCGGACGTCCAGTTGCCTTCTTCAGTGAAAAACTTTCTGGTTCCCAGAAGAACTACTTAACTTATGACCTCGAGTTCTACGCCATTGTTCAATCACTCAAACATTGGCGTCATTATTTAATCCAAAAGGAGTTCATTCTTTTCACTGATCACGAGGCTTTGAAGTATATTAATGGGCAGCACACACTCAATAGGCATCATGCCAAGTGGGTGGCGTACTTACAGGAGTTCACCTTTGTTCTCAAACACCAATCAGGTAGTGTCAACCGCGTCGCTGATGCCTTGAGTCGACGCAATAATCTTTTCTCCACCATGAGCAGTAGTGTGACGGGATTTGAAGTGTTTGCGGACATGTATGAAGCTGATCCTTCATTCGGGACGATCTTCTTGGAGGTGACTTCAGGACACCGCCATGATTTTTTGGTGCACGATGGCTATCTTTTCCGAGGTCGGCAGGTGTGCGTCCCAGATTGTTCCTTACGACAATAGATTATCAGTGAACTCCACAACGAAGGACATTTTGGTCGAGACAAGACTCTCGCTCTTGTGTCTGCTGATTTTTACTGGCCAAAGTTGAGAAGTGACGTGACCCATTTTGTGGATCGTTGCTATGTGTGCCAGCGATCTAAGGGAGCTCTCACAAATGCAGGCCTTTATACCCCATTGCCTGTTCCAGAAGCTCCTTGGCTTGATGTTAGCATGGATTTTGTACTTGGCTTACCCCGCACCCAAAGGGCGGCAGACTCCATCTTTGTTGTTGTTGACAGGTTTTCCAAGATGGCACACTTTATTCCCTGCAGGAAAACCATGGATGCTGTGCGGATTGCTCACCTATATTTCAGGGAGATTGTGAGGTTGCATGGCGTTCCTCGCTCCATCACCTCAGATCGTGATACAAAATTCATGAGCCAGGTCTGGAAGAGTTTATGGGAGAAGCTCGGCACCCATCTGAACTTTAGCAGTGCATATCATCCTCAGACTCATGGCCAAACTGAGGTGGTGAACCGTAGCTTGGGAAATCTTCTACGTTGTTTGGCAGGTTCTAAGCCAAAACAATGGGATTTGGTGCTTCCGCAAGCGGAATTTGCCTATAACAGATCCATAAACAGGACCACTGGATTAAGCCCATTTCAGATTGTCTTGGGTCAGAACCCATCAGGGGTGCTGGACTTGGCCCCAATTCCACGAGTGGGTCGCAATCATCCTAGAGCCGAAGAGATGATAGAGAACCTGAGGAGCATACATGATCAGGTGAGACGTAAGATTGAAGAAAGCAACAACAATTACAAGGCACGAGTGGACAAACGTCGACGTCAAGTTGTGTTTGATGTTGGAGACTTTGTTTGGGCTGTGTTGACCAAAGATCGATTCCCTGTTGGCGAGTATGATAAACTCAAGGATCGGAAAATTGGACCCTGCGAGATAGTTTAGAAGATCAATGCTAATGCTTACCGATTGCGGCTTCCCAGTCACTTGAAAACTTCTGATGTTTTCAATGTGAAGCACCTAACTCCTTGTTTTTTGGATTCTAAGGAAGATGTTGTGAACTCGAGGTCGAGTTCTTTCCAACCCGGGGAGAATGATGCAGGAGAGGATCCAGACTGACGTGAACTCCTTGTTAAGGCCATCATTTTTCAATTTTTGTGTCTTTGGGCCTTCGGCCTATCTTTTAGTTAGCCCATTTTTTTTATTCTTAGGCCCGTTTTGTCTTCCATCTTTTAGGGTTTCACTCCCTTCGTTTTTCATCTATTTATAGCCCGGCTTGTGGGCAAATTTCATTCAGACTATCATTATTTGAGAATATTTCATACACCTAGAGCGGAACTCTTCCCCTAGCGTTTCAATCATTCCCTTTCTTTCGTTGTTCTTCTCGTTCTAGCCCTACGCCTTGATTTAATTCGGCGTCAATATTACAACCTTATCTCCCGACACGATTCTCAATGCAAGCAAATTTGGGAATCTTTTAAGAAGTTGAATATAAGTAGTTAAGGCACCATCCACAGCAAAACTGAATCTAAACAGACACAGTCCTAAGAGATTTGATGCAATTGGGATGGAACATACATCTACTACACCTGCATGTGTACACTTCAAAGAGAAAACGAGATGTTTTATATATGTATAACCAAATCAATATGAATGGAAGTCTTTCTGGGCAAAGAGAAACTCACCAAAAGTGTTTCTAGAGAAAGGATAAGAAGCTTAATCGTTCTGAAATGAGGGTCAAACCATTCCCAATCTGTCTGACTGGGTGAATACATCACACACAGGGTTTTAAGTTTTGGAGCACTAACCACAAAATCTTTTATATCACCACGGGGACAGAAAACGAGCTCCTCAAGATTCGGAATTGTAGGGACAGTTCTAGTAGGATGATGCATACAAACCACACAATCCCTCATGTGTAAAGAGGTAAGGCAAGAAAATATGCTACCAAGTCGAGCATTAGCCGGAAAAACAATACTGAAACCATCAAGTCTCATTTGCTTTATTGTATGGCAGGAGAATATACAAATTGGCAATTTATACCTCAGCTTTCCTCCTTCTTGATCAACTGTTGAGCAGGCGAGGTGAAGTTCCTCGATCCCATTTCTTGACAGATGACGACACCAAACTTCTAAATCGGACTGCAGCAACTTAGGGCCAGATTTCGGAATTACCAGTTTAAATTTCTTGACGGGATAAGAGAATCTCAGTTACCATTTTCACAAAATCCTCCCGTTTATTGTCCTCGCGAGTTCGCTTTCTGCCCGCTTGGGTTTTCTTGAAGTCCCAATCGAAGACGAGGCGGCCATGGCGCAACCAAACGTCCTTCCATTGGGTTGAGAGGAGAGCAGTTCTGGCGGCTTCTCGACTGTCCAGACACTCCAAAATTCTGTCTTTCAAATCGTGTGGGAGTTGGCTTATCGTATCATCATTCGATGCACCAGCCGCCATTCGATCGAAAAAAAATGAGAAACTGAATGAAATTGAAGAACAAATTAGGGGAGGATGAAGTTGTTTCCCAATTGGCCAATTCCAACAATCCAACCCGATACACTCGGACGTCATGCGGGGCCTAGTTTCATGAAGAAAAAAAAAGGGGCAAAGTTCAACATAAAGTCTCCAGTTATAGGTCTTGTTTTATTTATTTAGTTCCGTCAAATATTACTAATTTAGTCCTCAATTATTATATTCGTTTCTACGAATGGTCTTTTGTTAACATTTCTTTTAAGAACATGGATAAAATTGTAAATTCACACTTCTTTCTCTCTTCAAATAAGTTTTCTCTCTCCTCTCGCACTCCTTTCCCAAACCCGTTTGAAACTGTTAAAGGAAAGAGAATATTTGGTAGAATATTTGGAGATATTTGTGTATATATTATTTTGGTAGTTTTCCTTGTATAGGGATTCTTTCCTTTTCCTTTTCCTTTACTGATTAGGAATCTCAACTTGTGAGATCCTATATATAGGTTCTCATTGTAAATTGTGCAGACAAGAAAGCAATACAGAAAATTTCCTCCCAAACAATTCTTTCATGGTATCAGAGCCAAAACCCTAGAGGATTTCCGCGGCTACTGTGGACGATCGCCCGGCATCGCGTCCAGCGATCGTCACTTGGTGTTGTTTCCGAAAGACCGGAACGGTCGACCGTCGGAGAGGAACGGTCGAAGGAGTCGACCGTCCCGACGGCAGTTTCTTCAATTGCTGCAGTTGTTCGATCTATTATTAGCCCGTGTCCTCTGGTATGTCGTCTGAAGAGGCATCCATGAAGATTACTCTCAACAAGAATGAGGAAGAAGAGAAAAAGGGATATTCGCCGTTGCCCAATTTCGAGGATCTGACTATGGAACAGTGGAACGCTGTTCGTCACGCCCTTGCGCTGTCCCCTACAGACATTAATCAGAAACTTACAGGTATTTCTGTGTCACCACGCTGGATTATTGATACGGGAGCATCAAATCATATGACGGGTGATCTTTCGTTATTGTATGATGTGGTGGGTGTGACTCCATGTGAAATTGGATTACCAGATGGAAAACGGGTAGTGTCTATTCAATCTGGAAAAGTTGATTTGACAAGGAATTTAACTTTACAGAGTGTGTTGTTTGTTCCAAATTTGAAGTGCCATTTGATCTCTGTCTCACAGCTGACGAGAGATTTGAATTGTGAGGCAACGTTCACCAATGATGCGTGCATATTACAGGACAAAAATTTGAGGACTGCGATTGGTGTAGGGAGACATGAAGGAGGATTGTACTATTTGAAGAAGGATGAAAAAAGCATGGCGTGCAGTGCTAAGAAGGTGAATACCTTTGATCTCTGGCACAAGCGTCTAGGACATCCCTCTTCGCATGTTTTGTCTTTAGTTCCCGGAGTTGGTCCAAATAAAAGTGGTCATAGTCATTGTGATGTCTGTTTACGTGCTAAACAAACACGTGCTAGTTTTCCCATCAGTTTTCATCAATCTTTGGATATATTTGATATGGTGCATTGTGATTTATGGGGTCCTTATCGGACGCCGAGTTTGAATGGTTCTACCATGTTTTTAACTATTGTGGATGACTTTTCTCGAGGCGTGTGGGTACATTTGCTTGATTCTAAGCAGACAGTAGGAAGTGTTTTTAAACAATTTTGTGCCACGGTTGAACGTCAGTTTGGGAAGAAAATAAAGTGTGTTCGTAGTGACAATGGCACAGAATTCGAATGCTTGAATGAATATTTTCTAGAACAAGGAATTATTCGTGAGACATCTTGTGTGTCTACACCGCAGCAGAATGGAAGAGTAGAGCGTAAACATCGTCATGTTCTGAACGTGGGTCGAGCTCTAAGATTTCAGGCAGGGCTTCCTATTGAATTTTGGGGAGATTGTATATAAAGTGCGGCATATTTGATCAATCGCACACCCTCTTCTTTGCTAGGGGGGGTTACACCGTACGAGAAGCTTTATGGGACGGCTCCTACAAGGACTCACATACGTGTTTTCGGTTGCAGATGTTATGTACACAAGAGAGATGGAGATAAATTTGCACCCAGAAGTACTCCTGGAATATTTTTGGGATACCCACAAGAAAAGAAGGGTTGGCGTGTGTATTTCCCGGACACTGGAAAGATCAGTGTGTCACGGGATGTTGTGTTTTGTGAAAACATTTTTCCTTACTTGATTTCCGCAGGTGAAATCCCAGATGAGAGTGGATCGAGTAGTTCCCCTTCGATCGATCACTTCGAAGATGATGAAGAGATGCCGGCGGAAGAACGGCTGGACCGTTCCACGAGGAACGGTCGATCGGAGGAGACCAGTGAGGCAGACAAGCTACAGACGGTCAACCTGGTGGACCGTCCTGATGACCACGGTCGACCGTCCGAAAGGCAGAAAGACGGACCTCTGGGAGTGCAACCAACGGTCGACGTGGTGGACCGTTCTATTGACCACGGTCGACCGTCTGAAGGGCAGAAAGATGAGCTCCAGAGGGATGATGAAACGGTCGACCGTGAAGAGGAGAACGGTCGACCGTCTCCGAGGCAGAATGTTAGAGATCCAGAACGGCTTCAGACGGTCGACCCCATGGACCCTTCCACGGACGGCGGTCGACCGTCCTCTTCCGAGCAGGCGATGGAGAACTTGGGACGTGGTCAGTGAGAGAAACGTCCAAATGTACGCCTTGCCGATTATGTAACCCATGTAGCTGGTTCACATGTTGGGGAAAAATGCAAATATCCTCTTGCCTCGTATGTCACGCACGAGAAGTTCTCTGACAGACACAAGTGTTTTCTCAGCGCACTTGATGCTGGAGTGGAGCCCACAAGTTTCAAGAAGGCATTCCAAGATGAACGATGGAGGAAGGCTATGAGAGAGGAGATTGATGCACTGGAGGCTAATGGAACGTGGTCTCTTGTCTCTCCTCCACGCCATAAAAAGCCCCTTGGTTGCAAATGAGTATATAAGATCAAGCGCAAGTCCGATGGAAGTGTGGAGAGATATAAGGCCAAACTTGTTATACTTGGCAATCATCAGGTTGAAGGACTTGACTACAAGGAAACATTTGCTCCCGTAGTCAAGTTGACCACTATGAGAACGCTTTTGGCAATTGCAGCAGTTAAGGGGTGGGAATTACATCAGATGGATGTTCATAATGCATTTCTACACGGAGATCTTCAGGATGAGGTGTATATGAGATTGCCACCTGGTTTCTCAAATTCGTCTAATGTGGTGTGCAAACTCAAGAAGTCTCTGTATGGCTTAAAGCAAGCTCCACGGTGTTGGTTTGCCAAGTTTTCTGGAGCCTTGAAACGCTATGGGTTTGTTCAATCTGTTGCTGATTACTCCTTATTTTCTTTTGTTGGAAAGAAAGGAGTCATACATGTGTTGGTTTATGTTGATGATTTGATTATTGCTGGAGATAATACAGAGATGGTAAGCAAGTTCAAAGCTTATCTCGGAGATTGTTTTCATATGAAGGACTTGGGAACACTGAAATACTTTCTTGGCATTGAGGTAGCGAGGAGCACGTCTGGGATTTTTCTCTGCCAACGAAAGTACGCCTTAGATATCATCACTGAGGCAGCGTTGTTAGGGGCGAGGCCATTGGGTGCCCCGATGGAGCCAAATCATCACTTGGCTCGTTCCCAAGCCCCGGTTCTTGCAGATCCAGAACCATATCGACGGTTAGTAGGAAGATTGGTCTATCTCTCCGTTACACGACCGGAACTTTCTTACTCCGTCCACACTTTAGCACAGTTTTTGAAGGAACCAAGGGAGGATCAGTGGGCTGCGGCCCTTAGAGTTGTTCGTTATTTGAAGGGATGTCCGGGTCAGGGTATTTTTCTGTCAGCAGAGAGTAGTCTTCAACTCACAGGATGGTGTGATTCGGACTGGGCAGCATGTCCTTTGACAAGGCGGTCATTGACAGGGTGGTTTGTGCAGCTTGGAGACTTGCCTGTCTCATGGAAAACAAAGAAGCAGTCGACGGTGGCTCGCTCGTCTGCTGAAGCAGAGTATAGAGCTTTGGCTGTCCTTACATGTGAATTGAAGTGGTTGAAGAATGTATTGCGGTGTTTAGGAGTTGAGCATAAGAACCCCATGACGGTCCGGTGCGACAACACAGCAGCTCTTCACATTGCTGCTAATCCAGTTTTCCACGAACGCACGAAGCACATTGAGATTGATTGTCACTTCGTTCGTGATGAGCTCTTGCGAGGAGAGATTCGTACACTTCATGTGCCTACTACGCATCAGCTTGCAGATATTCATACAAAGGCACTCGGAAAGTCTCGTTTTGAGTTTCTTCTACCCAAGTTGGGCATTTCGTTACTACATGCTCCAACTTGAGGGGGGGTGTTAAAGGAAAGAGAATATTTGGTAGAATATTTGGAGATATTTGTGTATATATTGTTTTGGTAGTTTTCCTTGTATAGGGATTCTTTCCTTTTCCTTTTCCTTTACTGATTAGGAATCTCAACTTGTGAGATCCTATATATAGGTTCTCATTGTAAATTGTGCAGACAAGAAAGCAATACAGAAAATTTCCTCCCAAACAATTCTTTCAGAAACTTTAACTTAAAACCGAAATCATCACTCTTCTCTCAATTGTTTGTCTAACTGGTGGAACCCAAATTCGAAACGAGTAACCTTTATGGATGAGTTTTAAGGTTTATTTTCTTTGCAATTTCTTGAGACTAACCAATAAAACTCATCTATAAAGTTTATTGGTTTTAATTTTAGATCGAAGAAAATCTCTTAAATAGGAGTAAAACATTAGGCTTATACCTAATATAGGAGTCCATAAGTTATATACCCAAAATAGGAGTTCCTTAATCCCTTTATTAACCTGCCTCTTTGGATCGATCAATCTAGGCTCTTTCTTCCGCTCCCTCTCTTACCACGACCACACCCACCATTTTCTCTCTCTTAGCATGTAGTGGTGTGTTTTATTTCCAGTTCTTAGTCAACTTCTAGTGCTTAATGTTTTTTTCATTTGTTTATGCTTCGATCATTTTTTTTTGAATTAAAAATCAACCAATTCTTAAAAGCATGGGAATTATGCCCCATGCTTTTTCCCGCCCATTTGTCAAGCCTTATGAGTCATTGATATTTGCCAATCTATGCATCTACGGCCCATATTTACAGCGCATGAAAAGGAGAAAAAAAGGAAATAAGTATTAAATAAGTACCGCAAAAAAGGCTTTAAAAGGAATCATATTTATATACGATATTAAAATAATTACACAATTCTATATCTAAATTACTAATTAATAATTTGTAACGAAAAAATTAATTTATTCCCACAGAAATGATTGGTTACATTAAAAAAGAATCCGAGTATATTTAATAAATAAACAGTATAAAACGGAAATTATTAATAATTTAGATTCAACGTGTTAGATGCCTTGGTAAAAAATAATTAATAATTTGTAACGAAAAAAATGAAAATAATTAATAATTTGTAACGGAAAAAAGTATTAATTATTCCGAAACACATTTATACAATATTGTAAGATAATTCATACGTATTAAATATATCACATAAAAAGGCTTTAAAAGGAAACACATGTATACAATATAATAATTAGATAGTTTCATTTTTTGGAATGCATAAGTACCGTATTCTTAAAAAGGGAATCAAAATAAAGGTATTTAAGGAATTAAGTGATTACAAAAAGGAAATCGGTATATATTAAATAAGTACCGACAAATAGAGATGGCAGCAGCAAACTATGACATCACACATTGATCATATCCTTGAAACAGAAGTTCAAACTTAAATTCCTCTAAATAGGAGTAATTAATTAAATAATCCATATATGTTTTGATTAGCCCTCGCCGCAAAAACAACTCTCCTTGCGATCAAGAATCCATGCATGGCAATCAACAACTAAATTGGTACTAATTCTTTCAACCACATGGATAAGTTTGAATTTAATTTTATGTTCAATTTTAAATAAGAGGTGACATTCCTTTTCAATTGTGAAATTTACTTTTTAGGTATTTTTTTTAAATTAGTATTGAAACTGAATGATTATGGTGTTGGCAAATAGTAGAATTCCTTGACATGTACTCCTTTTTAACATTATACATTGACATATCTTTCATTATACATTGTCAAGAATGACATTATACAATGTCAAGGTTGACATTATCTATTTAACTTGTTTAGCATTATACATTCGCATGTATGACATTATACATTGGCATGATTGTCATTATATGATTACATGTGGCATTTAGTATGGTCCTTTTGACACTGTATTGAGAATGTGTGCTTATATATTAAAGGTGAAAAACATGTCATTTAAATGAATTTAGGTGTTATAAATAAATTTACTGGAAGGATTAATATATTTGTGGTAATGTGGCTCATTCAGTAAGATCAGATTAAAATGGATTTGATAATCCACCACTGCAAAACGTATCCGGATAGTTTCACCTTGAAGATTGGCGCAAAACAAAAACAATCCTCGAAGGCGTCTACCTCGGGGACAACATCGCGGTCAACGGCACGTGTCTCATCGTCACGGAATTCGACACTGGATCATTCAGATTCTCGGCCGGCGTGGCTTCGGAGACCCTGCGGAAGACCTCCCTTGGAGAGCTGGAACGCAGATCTCAAGTCAATTTGGAGAGGGCTTTGACGCCGAGCACTAGGATGGGAGGTCACATCGTGCAGGGACATGTACACGGGACTCGAGAAATTGCAGGGTTTGAATCTGAAGGGGACTTGTTGTGGGTGAGGGTGAAAAAGAGGAAGGGGCTTTTGAGGTGCACTGTCCCCATTGCCGTGGATGGGGTTAGTACTACACAGTACCAAAGGATATGCACCTACATTTACTCCTATTTAGGGGAGTTTAAGTTTCAACTCCTATTTTTGGATATGATATTTCTTTTACTCCTATTTTGGTTCATCTCCCTTTAGATTGTACCATGAAGACTAATAATTGAGAGAGGAATGATAATTTTAGTTTTGGGTTTAGAGCTTGAAACTCAGGGACAAGTTTGGGAAAGAGTACGCGATGAGAGAGGAAGCTTAATTGAAGAGAGAGAGAAGTATGAATATACATTTTTATCCATGTTCTTAAAAAAACGTTAACAAAGGATTGTTCGTAAAAAATGATACTGTATAATAATTGGAGACTAAATTAGTAATATTTGATATGTAGAGACTAAATATGTAAAGCGACCTATTACTGGGGACTTTTTATAAAATTTACTCAAAAAAAAGAGACAAGTCTAACTATATCATACTCCCTATAATAATGACTTTTCTATTTTGAACAATTTACAAAAAAAAAATTTGTTTTTGTAAAGTTTACATGAATATTTTAAGAAATCTGTGATTTTACGTTAATACTCCCAAATTTAATAAATTACACCATTGGTCTTAGAAATTACTCAATTTCACACCAACACTCCAAATTGCCAACTAAGCTGAATATATAGTATTTTAAATGGTGACTAGATAATTATTAAGTGTGAGTTGTTAATTAATTACAAAAAATAAAAAAATACCTGGAATGGGTTATAATTATCCCCCTATTGATTTTAAAACAAAAACACGTTAAAACTAAAAAGTAAAGTCTTTATATTTTGATCAGATAAATTATAAATAGTGTTTTAGATAAAAATTTAGAAAATTTTAAAGTTGATATAATCCTAATTAAACTAATTTCAATTTAATAAGAAATAAATCTAAAAATAAATGGAGTGGTGGATTTAATATTTAGGCTTATACAGAGTATTAATATATTTCATCCTCCTATTGTTGAAAAATCAAAATAAAATAATAAGAAAAACATTATTTTCTTATTAAAACTCCAAAAAATGGAAATAAAAATAAAAAAATTATTTTCTTTCTTCGAAGTAATTTCATTTTATTTATTTCTTAATTAATTTTTTTTTATTTTTTTATGGTTTTATTAAGATACTATTTTTTTATTTTCTATTTTTTATTTTTATTTTTATATCTGACCAACAGAAGTAACACATTACTACTTCGTATGATTCGTAAAATGTTAGAACTCACCACTTCGTATATTTTTATTTATTACCAGTATCAGATTTGTTTTCTATTGATTACTTTATTTAGTTCATTAACTTTATTCGGTTTTAGTTGTTTTTCTCATTTTTGTTATTTTTATATCTACTTTTTTAATTTTTTCCGAGGTAAGACTAATCTTTAAAAAACAAAAAGAAATAATGAAGGCAGACTCTCATTTTAAAAATTTAAAATAAATTGCAAAAAAGAAATTTTAAAATAAAAATTCATCGAAAATAATCTCATCTTTTATTTTGTTGCGCAAAATAGATGATTTTCGTTAACCACCCGTTAGCAGCTTAGTGGTGACCCAAAACTCACAAATTTCAGTAAAATTAATATTATCATGAATTATAATGAAAATTGGAATTAATGTTTACCCAAAAAATTTAAAAGGATTATCCTTAATATTGCAGATCCGGAGCAAATGCTAAGTTAAACATATTAAATAATCTTTTGAAAATGTTAAAACTAAATACTAGAATTATCGCCAAACGACACTTAATAGAGCATAAACTTCTAGCTTCTGGCCGAGTTTGACTCCTAAAACAGTCATGTTAGACTTTTATATTCCTCCCGTCCTAAATTAATAAGGAAGAAGGAACAAACTAGGAATAAAACATATGTCATATTCTCAAAATAGAAGTTCAAACTTAATCTCCTCTAAATAGGAGTAATTCACATAATTAATACTCCATAAAACAAAAATATGCTCCGAACACGCACAGATGCATGCAAATATATTAAGCAACAATATTACCCACTCCATGCAACTTTTTTTTGTAGTCAAGTTTTTGAGTTTTTCTTTTTTTTTTTTAAATTTTTAATAAAAGGTTAAAATAAAGATTTTAACTTAATTCATACGGAGTACATAGTAAAAAAATGCTCCCCACACGCGCTGAATTTACGGCCAATACAAGTGGTGGCCAAGTTCAAAAGTAAAAAAATTGACTAATTTCACAACAACATGCTACCGACAGCGACGCCCACTGCCGCAATCGTCGTCGACGGTGATGCCCGCCGCCGCCATCGTCACCGCCACATACCTGCCACTATCACTTGAATCTCCACCACCGCTGTCCTCTGCTCCGCCGCACCGCTACAAATGAAACCTATCATTGACGCCTTTGATTTTTTGTTATCACCACCGACAATATCACCACTCTATACCAGTATCAACAACACTATCATCACAATTTGCATCATCGTCACCACAATATCACCACTCCTATTTACCTTTTTTATTATAGCAAAAAAACTAATCTTTGACATCATTTCGTATATATACGACGGTGACCATTGATAATGGTTAAATGTTCCTTCTTAATAAAACAAGATTGGATAGGTATTGTAAGGATACATAAAATGCATATCAGTAGTCTTTAGAAGATGGTGAGCTAAGAAGCTCTTGTTGGTGTTTTGTCTTTCTTTGGATTCAGCTCTGGTTTTCCCACTCTCATTATTCACATCTATTCATTCAAATTGAACAATTTCTGGTAGTTCTTGATTAGTCAATTTATTCAAACATATATTTAATTAATTACTCATATTTAGAGGAGTTTAAGTTTGAACTCCTATTTTAAAGATATGATACATGTTTTACTCCTATTTAGAGGGTTTTCTTATATAAGAACACGTTACTAGACATAATGTTGATATCAAAATATACTTTTAGCCTTTAAATTAACACCAACATGGTAGAAAATTAAAAAAAGGACCATTTGTTGAAAGACATCCTTAAAAAAAAGACTACGAAGGTAATATTTAATAATAAAGGACTAATTATGGAAATCCCTTTATTATAAAGGGACAGTTAGGCCCCGTTTGGTACACGGAATTCAAACTATGGAATTGGAATTGAGGACTTCAATTCCAATTCTGGTGTTTGGTAGCACAAAAATTATGTGGATTTGGATTTGATAGTACAAAAATTGAATTGAAATTGGCAGAATTCAATTCTATAGAATTGAATCTCATGGAATTTCAATTCCAATTCAATTCCAATTCCATCAATTCTTTATACCAAACGGACCCTTATAGAATTTATTCTCAGCATTTATGGTTGAAACCCAGGAAGAGTCGTTAATCGGTCCCTAATATCTTCTGTGTGCCCTAGTTTCTTCTTCAAATTCCAAATATTCTTCGCGTCACTTTCTCGATCGGATGGCGCCTACTGTTCTTCGATCTGTTCGAAGCAAAGCCGCATCGGAAGACATGATAAGCCAACTCCCAGACGAACTCAAAGACCGAATTTTGGAGTGTTTGAACACTCGAAATGCCGCTAGAACGGCTCTGCTCTCATCTCAATGGAGGGAAGTCTGGTTGCGCCACGGCCGCCTCCTCTTTGATTGGGGCTTCGAAAAATTGGGCACAGTAGGAAGTACGCGAATGGCTTTTGGGAAGATGGTAAGTGACATTCTCTTGCTCCGTTCCGGACCTGTTAAGACATTTAAGCTTGAATATGGTCCTGAGCCAACGCAGTCTGATTTAGAAGTTTGGTGTCGTTATCTGTCAAGAAATGGTATTGAGGATCTTCATCTCTCCTTCCGAACTGTTGGCGATGAGCGGCATGAGCCTAAATATAAACTGCCAATTTGTTTATTCTCCTGCCCAACAATTAAGCATCTGTCACTTGGTAGTTTCTTTATAGATTTCCCGGCTAATGCTCGACTTGGCAGTGTATTTCCTTGCCTTACCTCTTTGCAGTTGGTTGACTGTGTAGTCTCTGTGCATCGTGCCAATGGAACTTCCCCTAGTTGCCCTAATCTCGAGGAGCTGGTTTTCCAGAACTGTGTTCATATTGAAAATCTTTTGACAAGTGTTCCAAAGCTGAAGCTCCTTGGTGCGTGGGATCAGCCAGTAGGGATAGACTGGGAATGGTTCAAGCCCCGTTTTTTAGTAGTTACGAGTCTGTTCATGACAGCCAAACTTCTTTTGGTGAGAACCCCTTCTTTTGCTTCATGGTTTGATCGGATACAATTTTGAGTTTTTAAACTGCGGTTGTATATTATTTCGTGATAGTTTGTGCCTTGGGGGAGGGTAGGGGATGTGATATTTTCTCTTTTGCATCAATCCGGCAAAACTACCCCTAATTTTCCTAATCTTGAGGAGCTTGCTTTAGGAAAATTGTGTCCAAATTGAAAATCTTTTGACAAGTAATCCAAAGCCGAATGTCCTTGTTGTGTGGGATCGGCGAGTTGGGATACTCTGGGAATGGTTCACGTCCCTTTTTCTAGTAGTTACAACAGTGGGCATAGAAGCCAAACCTCTTTTGGTGAGAATCCCTTCTTTTGCTTCATGGTGTGATCCAAGACATTGTTTGGTTTTTAATTAAACCTCGGTTGTAGACTATTTCATGATAGCTTGTGCCTTGTTCCTTTCTCTTGTTTTTCTTTGTTTTTGAAAAAAAAAGATAGGGGTAGGGATTGTTAGTATTTGAGCTAGGCGATTGTGTTAATTTTCCGCTATACCTCTCACCTTTGGATGAGGTTTTCCATTGTAAAAATATCCAATTTTTAAAATTCCTTCCAAAAATCCTTATATCGCTTATCCCACTCATTACAGAAACAAGGTATTTAGTATTTACACATTGCGGTACATATGTAAGGTCTACTCTCCAAGTATCTCTCCCCCCCCCCCAGACCCTTGATGTCCAATTGGGGCATATAGGGAATGTTTTGTTTTTTTCTTTTAATGTCTCTCTTTGAAGTTTAAAAATGCAGGTGTGGCTAAACCTTCCTTCCCAACTGCTTTGAATATCGAAGAACTCTGGCTTCACGACTTCAGTTTTGCTGCGGAGGCCTTCACTGCTTCTATTCAACTGCTTAAAGAATGCCCAAATCTACTCACACTGGGAATCGTACTCGAAGATGAGGTTGTAATATGCAATATATAATTCACGTATTTGGTTATTATATTAATACCTGCTGAAGACCCGTGTTGTAATGCATTGCTTTGATTTCCATGTGTTATAGCCATCTTTTATGCGTGCCAGAGAAACTATTTCAAGAATGTTGGAAAATTCAAGCGGTTGGCTTAATGATCACGATTTGTGTCGGCTTGAGAATGTAGAGATCAGATCATTCACGGGATCAAGACAAGAAATGCTATTTGTGAAAGCAATCCTTTCAAATACCCCCGCACTTGAGAGACTTGTTATCATGGAATCAGACGACTTTGACGATGCTCAAGCTCTCAAATTGTCACGGGAGTTGCTCTGCTTCCCTCGCGCATCTCCGAAAGCACAAGTTCTTTTCGTGGACTCTAACACTATGTTTGGTTCAAGGAATTCAAAAGAGAAAAGAAAAGAAAATGGAGTGGAAAACAAGTTTTCTTGTTTGGTTAGAAAGGAAAACTGGAAGAAAAAGAGGATGAGAAGGCAAAATGTACCAAATGGAAGGAAAACCAAATTCCTCCCATTTTGGAGAGGAAAATGAAAGAAAACCATTTTCTTTTCTTTTCCTTCAAAATTCCTTGAACCAAACATAGTGTAACTCTAGCCTTACCATACTGTTAAATTGATTTACTCCCTGGTTATTACAACTTTGGTGTTCCGTATTAGTCCCCCGTTTATTGGATGATCATCTTTAATAGGCACAATGAATAGCTCTCTTTTTTTTTTTACTTTTGAGTAAAAATTCCAATGAGCAGTTTCTTGCTTTCACTTAATCATCTCACAGTCTCTTACAAATTCAAAGAAGTCTTTCACAACTTTTCATTAATTGACGCCAAATGGATCCCGTTCCCGTGTGGTTTGAAAAATAAGTATCATTACTTCCTCTGGTTTCAAAACTTATTTTTATAGTCCTTGTGGCTTTAAAATGTTCTCTGAACATTTTCTGGCAAAGAAGGAACATTGGTGCCTAATTTTAAACCATTGGGGCACTTGTGTTCATTTTTTATTTTTCGTTTATTATTTTGTTTTTTCCCTTCTTTTTAGCGCTTTTAGCTTTCTTTTTTTTTAATCTTAGAAAAGTTTTTAAAATTTCTCTTCAGTTTTTGTATTGTTTTACAAAATTCAAAATTTCTTTGTTTGAAATAAAAATAGAAAAATTAGCATAATTAAAAATTTTCACTTTTTCTTTTCTAGAATTCTTTTGGTAAATTCAAAAAGAAAATTCAGAATAAAAAAATAAACCATTCTGCTCCTGGCTCCGCCACTGCCCTGGTGTCGGTGCTGGTCCTAATTCGCAATCACTAATGATCTCCAATGGTTATGAATGAACTGGATATAGGTTTTCAATTCTTCCAGGACCATTTTGTCGGCGCCGCTCCTAATTAGCGGCGGGAAGAACAGCCAGAAGGTGGTGCCCACCACGAACCCGACCGTCAACGGCCCCGAAACCGCCCGCGGCAGCCGGGGAGTGCCTCCCCAAGCCTGCTCCGTCGCGTACTCCGCCGCGACGCAGACTCCGTGGAGCAAGAAGAACGCCGTCATCTCCCACGACGGGCGGGCGCGCGCGACGTAGAAGACCAGCAGCTCGTGCATGAGGCCGGAGAGCGCGAACGTCGCCATCATCGCCGGAAGTGGGGCCCACGCGCCGCCGATGACGGCGGCGGAGAGTTCCCGGACGGGATCGTAGACGGAGAAGCGGAAGGTGTTGGTCACGGTGAGGTTCCAGCGCCTCCCCCAGAATTCCCGGAGGGAGCAGGAGAGGTAAGGCTCGTCCGACGGCGGGTCCAGATCTAGACCGGTCAAGACCCGGACCGCGAATCCCGAAACTCCGACCAGCACATCCACCATGAGGAAAACCAGGAGAGAATACCAGATCAAGACCAGGTTCTGGTGGGCCCCATCTCCGTACCGGAAAATCAGCTGCAACAACCCCGCGAAGCCCGCAATTTCCGCCGCCAAGTTTAACCGCAAAATCTGTTATGAACAGTGTTAGCAAAATTACTTCCTCTTTCCTTCCAAATTAAATTGAAATAAATTTTCCATATTAAAATAAACAAAAAAAGTAAAAAAACTTATTTTGAAACTCCGTTCTAAAAGAAATTCTCCATTAGATTAAAAAGAGATTTAAAAATTCTATAAATCAAAACGTAATAATTTTATCAAATGATCAATAAAAACTTGCAAATAAATAAAATTCATCTAGAGACCGGTGTAATAATAAAAAAGTAAATCATTTTGAGGAGGAGGGAGAGAATACCTTTGATCTATTGACATTTTTCTTCTTCAACCTGAGAGGAAGAGAAGCCATGGCAATGAAGGTGAGGAGAGACCTGTAGGCGGGTGAGGAGGAGGAGAGCGGGCCGCGGTCGAAGGAGAAGGCGAGGAGCTTGAAGTTGGAGAGCCAGGTGAAGAAGAAGAAGGCGACCGCCGTGCAGAAGGCGGAGGAGTGGAGGAGAGGGAAGACAGTGAAGAGGCCGAAAACAGGGGTTAGAGATATGAACCTGAAAATGCCCTTTGGGAGGTTTGCAGACACGAAATAGCAGTACACCAGAGAAGCCAAAACCAGAAACCAGACGTGGGTTAGTGAGATCTTCTCCATCACTTTTTCTTCTTGAATCTTTCTAGTCTTTAATCTTAAGGTTTTGCACTGGTTATAATGGCGTTTGATTAATTTTCTAGTTGGAAATGTTAACTTTGGGTCGTTTTTAGAAGGAAAGCTAGGGAGAGCTTTTCATAGAAAAATGTGGCGTTTATTTAATGCTCCTCCGGTACAAAAATTTAATAGCGTGACTTCACCTAATTTTGCTACAAAGGGGCAAAGAGATCAAAGGAGTTATTATCACACCATCTCTAAGTCATAAAAATCTTCTCATAGAGCAAAAAAGATGTGGATTCAACAAGATATCAAAACTTTTTTGGCATTTGATTGACCTCTAAGACTCAATTTAGTACATTGAGTTCAAGTCATATAATTAAAATTGAAAATTTTCATTTCGGATTAATTGTTTGATAGAACAAAAATGTGTAGATTTAGAATTGAATTTCATAACACAAAAAGGAATTTAAAATTTGAGATTTAAATTTTATAAAATCATGCCACGCGAATCTCTTTTGTATCATAACAATCAAACAAGTTTTATAGATCTTGGGTGTGTTTGAAAATTAGCTTTTCGGCTAGTTTAGGCTTCTTTGACAGATTTCATATTCTTTAACTAATCAAAATAGCCAAATCAGAAATTTAAGAGTGAATTCTCAAATATTTCTTTCTAATAAGGCGTTTCTTAAATTAGTCTTTAATAAGCAAGAATTACTTGTGTGATTCTTTATAATTTATATTTATTTCCTAAATAGTCTAGTGTTGAAAATGTCTATTAAATATTAGTTAAATAGAAATTATTTTGGTATTTTATATTATCTAGAGTTAAAGTATATTCTCGAAATACTCTTTTACAATAAAGTATTTTTCTAAATTGATCATTTCTAAGTGTTTTCCTGAAATGGAGTCCTTAAGCCGACTCAAGCTGGGCCCATTTTCTAGCAGCCGCTCACTTGATTTGAAATGATTGTTTGAAGGACTTATTAATAGTTTAGATAGTAGAAGATGCCAAAATTTACTAAATTTAACTATTATTTAATTGGCATTTTTTACTGAGGACTATTTATAAAATACATCTCAATTACAAAGAACTCTTTTTGTACTTATTCTTTACTGAGGACTAATTGAGGTAAAGAGAGCTCATTAGAAAGGAATGTTTTGGAAATTCACTCAAAATTTAAAACTAAAAAAATACTTTGTATATTTTAAATATTTAATATTTAGAACATAAGATTTAGAATTTAAACTTTAAAATAAAAAATTAAACTTAAAATTCTAAAAACTTAAATTTTAAAATTCAATTATTAAAAACCAAAAATGAAAATTTATAAAATTAATAACTAAAAGTAAAAAATTAAAATAAATTGATTTATGTTTAAAAATAAGAATTAAAAATTTAAAGATTAAAATATAGAATTAAAAATTTAATATTACAAAATTAAAATTTAATATTTAAAATTCACCCTAGAAAAATGTAAAAATAAAATTTCTCATTTATAAAATAAATTTAAAATTCTAAATATAAAATTAAAAATTAGAAATATAAAAAAATAAGAAATTAAAAGTTTAAGCATTTAAAATTTAAGATATAAATTCAAAACTCAAAATTAAAGATTGATATATATATATATATGTGTGTGTGTGTGTGTATTTTGGTTCTGGTGAAGGTGCGATCTTATGAGAGAAATTAGAATGAATCTGATGCTTTAGATTCTGAGATCTAAGGGTCAGGATTGGTGCATTTTGACGTGATGCATTTTCAAACCATTTTAGAGCTCCTAATTTTGATGCAATCTCGATTCTTAGATCTCACAATTTAAAACACCAGATTTATTCTTATTTCTTTTATAAGATTGCATTCTCACCAGACTATATATATATATATATATATATATATATATATATATATATATATATATATATATATATATATATATATATATATAAAATTTATCCAGACATACTTTTATTTTTTCATGAGAAATGATACCTTTTTATAATCCTTATAAAAAGGATTAATGAACATTGTTTTATGGGAAAATTTTGTATGATTATTAATTTGGGGGTGAGGGGGTTGTTGGCTAGTTGGCTTGAGTACTTGAAGAGTGAATTCGCCTCCTTGTTCAAAGACCAAAGCAGTGAATTCAAATTGGCCAAACCCTCGTAGTGAATTGGCCTTGCTCAATTCCTAGGCGTAATTATCACTCTTTCTCGCTGTCAAGAGATCTATCGTCTGATTTTCTCCGCCGGGTTACAGGTCTTCTTCAAACCCAATCTTATTTTATTGCATGTAAAAAGGCCATTATTGATTCTGCTATGACTTGGGTTCTTGATTCTGATCTTCGGCACACCGGAAATGAATGCAAGCTCAAATTGAGTCCGAATTCGATCTGTATTTGCACAGTTTCACACTCCCGTCCGAATCTCCCTTTTGAGATGACTTATCTTCTTTAAAAGAAATTTAATTTTGAAATTTGAATGAAGATGTGATTTGGTTACTTAGAACTGGTGTTTATGTGTGTACTTCATAATTCATATGCTCTCGTCGAGTCCACCAATTTTAGGGTTATGTCTTACTCTTAATAGTTAATTCATTTCTTCGTTCTTTTGCATTCGCCAGAGCTATCGGAATTTTTATGGTGAGACGTGTTGCCCCGCGTTGCTCAGTTGATGGTGATCAAATCCGCCAACTCCCGGTGGAGATACTTGACCATATTATGGGACTCTTGCCTATTCAACAAGCTGCTAAAACTGCAGTTTTGTCTAAGGTTTGGAGAGATGTTTGGTCCAGTCTGACGCATTTGTGCTTTGATGATAACTTCTTTGGGTATTTTCAAATAAAACATCAGAAGGAGGGCAAATACTTCAAGCTATCTTCATGTTTGTATGCAATCAACAAAGTTCTTTTGTAGCACAAGGGAGCTATTAAGAAATTTGTCTTTCTTTTCCCTGGTGGTTGTACACTAATTGTTAGGTCTCGCTCATATGACGTGAATCAGTGGTTGCTTTTAGTCACACAACAAGGTGTTGAAGAAATCCATCTTCGTTTTGGCAGTAGAGAGTACAAGCTGCCTGAATGCATATTTTCGTCCTCAACACTCAAGAGATTACACCTATCTGGTTTATGTACTGAACCACTAAATTCTCCATGCACTTTACCGAATCTTACCTCACTTTGTTTTGAAGAAGCGAAATTCATTTCTAGAAATACCACAAATTACGCCATTGATGTTCCTAAGCTGAAGAATCTGTCGTTTTTTTGTTGTGAGAATATCTCTCACTTCAACATTATTGCAAGAAATCTTTGCAGTTTGAGAATCGCACATTTTTTTACTAGAAAAGGGGACAATTTTCTCCCGGTGAACATTGACTTGAGATCTATTCACACTCTTGACTTGGAGGGTTCCTCTCACGAGGTATTTAGCTTGATGTTTGCTTTTGTACTTTGTTATGTATATTATTCTATGCATTTTAAGTCATCCAACTTCATTGCCATATATATGATTTTCAAGTATATTCTTGGCGACCATACCTCAAATGGACTTCCACCACAATTGCCTGCCCTAAATGTGAAATCACTGAAGCTATCAGGGGACTACATCCAAACTGATGCTGCGGCTCTTCCATTTGTTTGTTTGCTCAGAAAATGCCCAAAGTTATGCAAACTTAGAATACGTTTTCAGGTAAATCTTCTTTCATTTTTATGGCCGAAATATTGGGTAATATTATGGTTACGTCTATGCTCTTCTGCCTTCAATGAATTAGGCTTGAAATGTTGAATTGTTGGTTTTTTCTTCTGATCTTGTTTTGCTTTAATGTAGTGGGCAGGGGATATGAACAGGTGTATAGATGCTACATCGGGGCATTTTGAAAAGCTCCGTAGTGTGGCTCAAACACACAAAATGCTTTGGTCTTTAAAGTTTTGCTCATTCAACGGATCAAGGCCCCAAATGCATTTCATCAAGGAGATGCTTGCAAATCTTCCGAGTTGATCAGATTTAGTCTGATCAGATTGTATTTATATTTAAAATTGAATGTATCTACCAGCATATATCACTTCTGTTGTGGTTAGTGATATGCCAAATTAAATAAGATTTTGTTGTGGGTTTGGATCCAAATTAAATAAGATATGTTTTGATTATTATGAGTCATTTCATTTTTGTTTTTATTGATTGATTTAAAAAAAAAAAAGAATGTAGATGTGAAGTAGTATGTGAGGAACTTAACCTGCCACTCTTGGGGAATTTTATGGTGTAGATGTGAAGTAGTATGGGAGTACTTCTATAATGTGGCTCAACTGCCCAAGCACACATAAGGCAAAACACACTTGAAGTTAGGGGTTTGAATGGGTCAAACTTGGATTGGGACCCGACCAAGACCGAATAGGGTGTATTTCATGGACCGAAGATAAGGCTCAGTAAGATAGTGATTTTTTATTAATAAAAGTTTAATTTAAAGTATTCAATTGTACAAATGTATTGCACTATTATTGTCTTTAATGCGTCACATACACTAAATATTCTAAAACACCATTATTTTCAAATTTTTAAACCTAATTTAAACAAATTATTCTCCATATTTTCTATCTGTCCCGCCAAAAAATACTTTTAAATTTGAAAAATTTAATACCTCCTCCGCCTCAGTGTATTTATCCAGTTTGATTTTTTTTGAATCAAGCTGGAAAAACTTTGAGCTTCAATTAAATAAATTTGTAATGTATTTTAACATAAAAATGAATTTATTAAATTTATCGTATTAAGAACTTTCAAAATTGTATTTTATCATACTAATATGCAACACAAATTGAGAGTAATTGGAGTTCAAACTTTTTCCAGTTTGACTTGAAAAAAAATCAAAAAAGACAAATACACATGGACGGCGGAAGTATATCTACTAGTGGCAAAAACTAATATGTATACTTTTATCGCCCTTTTTCATATTTATCACACTTTTCATATTGAAATCTTTAGATATCATTAGGATTGTTATACTTAGGCCATAAAATTATTGTTTTTTAATTTTTGGGAGTAGAAGTTGTACACATATATAAACAAGGATAAATGAGGACAACTGATTCGAGTAGAGGTTGAAACATATAAGAATGGGAAAGACGTATAAGGGAGTTGGCATAAATTAAGTTAGATTTAGAAAAAGTGAGAGCTTTTCTGTTCACTTAAGCCAAAGGAAAAAATTCTTTGACCAGGTGAAAAATCAAAGAGGAAATTTTTTAGAAATGGAGGAAATGTTATTTTAAATTGAACCTTGCTATATATTTTGGTTTTCTTCCCCAATCTTTTCGGTGTAGGACTAATGATGTTTGATCCCTACAAAATTTGACCATTTCAATAAGACAACCAAAATTGAAATGGGTAGACTTTAATCACTTTCTTTAACTATTTTCATTAGGCATTTGATAAACTAATATAGTCTTGTCACAACTTGTTTTGTATAATTTTTGATGTATTTTTTAAATATATAAATTTTATTTTTAATTTTACACCTACAATCAAATAAATTGAATTGAAAAATAAAGTCGGTCAAACATCGTAAACATAATCGGAAAGAACATTATAAGACGGAGGGAGTATAATACTTAACGTAAGCAATGACACTTACCTGCACGAGTAAACTCCCGATATATGTAAAAAAAATTAAAGCATTCCTGACAGGGTAAGTCATGAATTTTTTTTCCTGGCAGTGCATCTCGGAGTTGCCTACTCCGTTTTAGTTTGAAAAAGGAACCCGAACGAACTCAGCTACTCCGTTCACTGTGGATTTATTTCCCAGATGGAGTAGCCTACTCCGTTTCTATTTAAAAAGTGAGAGACGGAGTAGCCAACTCCGTTTCTCTTCAATCTCGGTGTATGGTGCATTATTTAAAAAGTCAATAAATATTTATTTTATTTATGAATTTTATTGTTAGTAGATTGTTTGTTTCATTATATGTAAATAATTTGTTGATTTTTATAATTTTTTTTGTTTTCCAAATATAAGAAATAAATTAAATAATTGATTTTAAAAATTTTTTTTAAAAAAATGGGTGAACGGGATTGGCTACTCCGTTTTGCTAATTAAATAATCGGAACGGAGTACGCTACTCCGTTTATGGTAAATTTTTCAGCTCAAACGGAGTCAGCTACTGCGCTTTGCTTTATTTGGGAAACAACACATTAAAGTTACATATAATAGAACACAAAACAACTAATCTACACATGCAGGAAAATCAACCTACCTGCACCCCCAATCCCCCCACCCCCCACCCCCACCCAAAAAAAAGACTACAATTACATATATCGTCATTATAATGTCTTTTGTTTCTGCATAATACAGCTAGACCACACACTACTTTTGAATTTTTATTGTGTTTCTTGAAAATGGTTTTTGACTTCTATGAAAAGTTTAGAAAAACAACCCCTTGTGTTTGTACCCGATTACTCAAATATTTCTATAAATAATTAATCTCCATCGGCCGTCCCCATCCAATAACGCGATTACTTGAGCGGATGAGTCTTTAAATAATTACTCATAATTAATTACCTCTTGCCTAATTAAATAACTACTCACTTTATAATTAGGCGAAGAAGATTAAATTTTCTGCAATATGTTTCTTCCCCTGATCTTATCATTATTACTTCTCCTCCAAGAAAAAGCAATAGTGGCATCAGAACTAGGAGCAGACGACAAACCAGCACTTCTGGACTTCGTTATTCCCCACGGGCTCGGGTGGAAGCCCGTCGACCCAATTTGTAACTCTTGGGTCGGCGTGACCCGTGGCTCGAACCGAAACCGGGTTGTCGAACTCCGACCATCCGGCTTCGGGCTCTGCGGTTCGATACCGCAAAACACGTCCGTAGGAAGACCGGGTGGCAATAGCTTTCTGACCGGGCCCGTACGGCCCGGTCTCAATCTACTTGCACGGGTCAAGAGCTTGAACCGAAGCAACAACGATTTCAGTGGGTCCGTTCCACAGTCGTCTTTACTGAAAAGATTTCCTCTTTCGCCGTCGTTAGCCAATAACCCTTTGCTAACGACGTCGAGTGGGATGCCCACACTGCAAGTAGTAGTCACATCAGCATCAACAAAGAAGTCATCAAAGAAAACTATGCCAAATATATTCTCAATATGGTCAGAACTCCCATGGCCTGTTCGCTTTGTGTTTGTGTTTTTTATTTTTGTGTTAGCACGTGCTTATCTTGGAGTTTAGAGTAGTCTATACGTAGTATAGACCAGAAACCAGACGTGGGTTAGTGAGATCTCCATCACTCTTTCTTCTTGCATCTTTCTATAGTCTTGATCTTCTTCTTTTTTAATCTTAAGGTTTTTTCAGTGGTTATAATGGCGTTTGATTAATTCTCTAGTTGGAAATGGTAACTTTGGGTGGTTTTACTTTTAGAAGGAAAGCCGGGGAGAGGCTTTTCATAGAAAAATGTGGCGTTTATTTAATGCTCCTCCGGTACAAAAATTTAATAGCGTGACTTCACCGAATTTTGCTTCAAATGGCAAAGAGATCAAAGGAGTCATTATCACACCATCTCTAAGTCATTAAAATCTTCTCATAGAGAGTGTTTGAAGAGCAAAAAGATGTGGATTCAAATATCTTTAAGATATCAAAACTTTTTTGGCTTTTGATGAACTCAAAGACTTTGTTTCGTACACGAAGTTCAAAGTCATATAATTAGAATAAAAAATTGTAATAGTTACCATTTAATTGTTTGATAGAACAAAAATGTATAGATTTAGAATTGAATTTGAATTCCAGATTTTCTATTTTCAAAGTTCATATTTCATAACACAAAAAGAATTTGGAATCCGAGATTTAAATTCTACGTATCAAAATAAAATCACACGAATCTCTTTTGTATCATAACAATCAAACAAGTTTTATAGATCTTGGGTGTGTTTGAAAATTAGCTTTTTCGTTGGTTTACGCTTCTTTGACGGATTTCAAATTCTTTAACTAATCAAAATAGCCAAATTAAAAATCTAAGATTGAATTCTCAAATAGTCCTTTCTAATAAGGCGTTTTTCCAAACTAATAAGCCGTTTGACAAACACCATATCGGATATCCAATTTTCTGTCAACCATGGTTGTCAGCGCATGCATGTACCTACTGAGCAAGATTTCCAGTCTTTGAAGAGGATCTTACACTATGTTAAAGCCACGCTTGATTAGGGGTTGGTTTTTTGACATGGACCACTGGCGGTACATGCATACTCTAATTGGGCAAATGATATGATTGATGGTCGCTGCATAACTGGTTATCTAGTCTTTTTTGGCTAAAATCTTGTCTCATGGAGCACGGAGAAACAAAGTCGTGTCTCTCGTTTCCCCTCGGAGGCAGAATATTGTGCTCTCTCATCTGCAATAGTTGAAGTAACATGACTCTCTTATTTGTTTGATATCTTGAAGATCAAACTTCCTCCTCCACATCTTTTTTATGATAACCAGTCTGCCATTTGCCCGACCAAAAATCTAGTTTTTCATAAGCGCATGAAGCACGTAGATTAGAACCAATTGCCATTTTGTACGAAAACAAGTAATAGCTAAGCAGATGACTTTTTCGTATGTTCCCTCCACAAATCAGCTTGCCAAGCTCTTAACTAAGGCACTATCATCTCCTCGATACACCACTCTGGTTTCCAAGCTTCCACTCGTTTCACAGCATTCAGCTTGAGGGGGAGGAGAGGTGTTAGACAGTTCTAGTAGCTTTTGTATTTATGATAGTGTTCGTATATTAGTCAGCTACTATATTATAGAAATTCTAATTATGCCAGGATCTCCATCTCTATATATTGCCTTGTATCCTCCTAATTTATCAAGAAAATACAATATTCTTATTATATTCAACAGTAGGTATTGATACTTAGGAGTAGTTAGCTTATTCCACACTATCGGATAACCCTGAAATGCTCTGCAATCTCCCATTAGCCACTCATACATGTTATGAACATCATACTCATTATTATTCATACCTTCAGATAGTCTTCTATTGACACCAAAATAGAAGTAAATTATAGAGAAAATATCAAAATAGAAGTTCTATGTTTTTATTTATTAAATAGAAGTTCGCACTGTGGTAATGTGCCACAGTGCACATATATTTCACTATACTTTTTGTAATCTACATGGTCATGATTGGTGATGTAAATGCATTTTAACTCTTATTTTAACAATAAAAACATAGAACTTCTATTTTTATATATTTCTAAGGTTTTACTCATATTTTAAATTTTTCCTTTAAGTTTAATCAGAGGGGCTTAGAACCCTCCAATAATGACTTTCCCCGAAAGCATTGACAAATTATACGAAAGACTAATTAGTTACGTTGTACTTTTTTTGGTACATAATGATAAACTTGTAATTAAAATACTATTTTAAAATGAATGCTAAGTTATTTCAGATTGAATACTATATTGACCATTATTAAGAATAAACATTGCGGTTAAATATGGGCATTTTATTGATTCAAAATGAATATTCTATTAATTTAAATGAATATTTGCTGGGTGTACATAACTCTAATACAACCGAGTGTATGGTACATCTCTTTCAAAAAAGCTGTTGAACACTTGAACTCTATATTTTATTTTTTAAAATGATATATTTTTTTCATCCCAAAGATTACCACATTTTTTTAGTCAAACTGTTCAATATTTTGACTATAAATTAAATATATATTTAAATAATTAAATATTATAAAAATTTGTTATATTAAAACAATATTAAAAAATGATTCTAACATTTTTAAAGTTGTATTAAATTAAATATATATTTTTTCACAATTTGTTATCCAAGTCTTACATAATTTGACAAAAAATTCAAACCTGTGTTAATTTTTTGGTGACTAAGAGCATCTCCAACCATTAGGTTTTGACTTGCTAAATACCATAATTTGGCAAGTCATGTCAACTTTTATGCTCCAAGGGGCTTTCTATATTATAACACACTTGCATTATTTTAACTTTGGCTTGTTATATAAAGCAAGCCTCTCAAAATATAACAAGCTATGATATTAATAAAATAATTAATTTCTCTCTCTTCTTCTCTCATTTTTCTCTTCTCAATATATTTTGGTACTTCTACTTTCTAATTTTTTATTTTTTATCTACTCTTTACTACTATAAATAATTTATTAATTTAATTATGCATCATATAAAATAATAAATTGGATTTCATTTTTTTTAATTTTAATAATATAAATTTAATGTACGAATAATGAATGAAAAATATTATATTTTATTATATTAAATTTTTAATAATATTTATCACATCATCACTTTTGTTAATATTATATAAAAAATCGATTTAATATTGTTAGAAAGGTTGGACATGATAATGCAAAATGGCTTGTTATACCACTATTTACCTGCTAAAAAAAGAGTTTAGCAAGCCATGCTTATTGGATTGGAGATGATCAAATGGAAGAAGCTTTGTTTAACGCTAATTCTCATCGAAACATCTGGAAACCGGAGTAACACACTCTCTCTCTACTGAGCAGAACTGCAGAAGATCAATCGTCTCCTCCGATCGCCTTCCCGGTGGAGGTACAGGTTTTCTCCTATCCCATGCTCGATTTTTCTTCTTCTGATTTTCAGAGTTTCCACTCCCTTTCGAATCATTTGACAATCCTTAAAAGAGATTTGGTTTGAATTAAGATAAGCTTTGGTTGCTCGGGTCAGTTCTTAGGTTCCTAGTTCATTTCATCTCGCCAAGTCCCCCAATTTTAGGGTTATGTCTTAGTTTTAGATTTTAATCCATTTCTTATTTCAATTGCACATGCCAGAGCTATCAGAATTCAGAATTGCTATGGCGAAACCTGCCGTGAGGCGTCACGCAGCTGCGAGGGATCGGACCAGCCAACTCCCGGTAGAGATACTCGACCATATTATGGGACTCTTGCCTATTCAACAAGCTGCTAAAACTGCAGTTTTGTCTAAGGTTTGGAGAGATGTGTGGTTCAGTCTCACGCGTTTGTGCTTTGATCATGACTTCTTTAGTTACTTCAATAAAAAATATCGGCGGGCTAGCAAATATGTCAAGAAATCTTCATGTTTGTATGTAATCAACAAAGTTCTGTTGCAGCACAAGGGGTGTATCCGGAAATTTGTCTTTCTGTATGGTAATGCCGGGAAACTTACCATTAGGTCTCGGTCATTTGACATGGATCAATGGTTGCTTTTAGTCACGCGAAAGGGCGTTGAAGATATCCACCTTCATTTTGGGCATAACGAATACAAGCTTCCGAGTTTCATATTTTCATGCTCCACACTCAGGACATTACGCCTTGATGGGTTTTCTATCCAACCACAAAATTCCCCGTGCTCTTTACGGAATCTTTCCACACTTTGTTTTGCAAATGTTAAATTTGTTTCTAGATATCTCGCAAACAACGCTCTTGATGTTCCTAAGCTGGAGAATCTAGTGTTTAAATACTGTGAGGATATGTTTCACTTTAACATTACTGCTAGAAAACTTTGCAGTTTGAAAGTCAATTGTTGTTCTGGTAAGGAAGTGGGCAAATTTCTCCCGGTCAACTTGGACTTGACATCCATTTGCACTCTTGATTTGGACTATTACACTCTCGTGGTATTTCATCTAGACCTTTTATATTTAACTATGATTTCTAGTATTATATTACTCCGCGCATTTGAAATGATCTAACTTCATTTCCATATGATTTCCAAGTACATTATTGGCCAATATACTACAAAGGAATGCTTGCTACAACTCCCTGCACTAAATGTGAAACTACTCAAGCTATCCAGTTTTTGTTTCCATGATGATGCTAGGACTTCTGCATTTACATGCTTGCTCTGCAAATGCCCAAAGCTATGCAATCTTGAAATAAGTTTCGCATATCAGGTAAATGCTCTTGAAATTCTTTTCGCTTCCATGTTTTCTGCGTCCCTTCATGCAATTTTGGTCTGAACTACCAAACTCTTATTTTCCCTTCTCGTGTTGTGTCTTCATGTAGTGGGGAGAGGATATCAACAAGTGTATAGATGCTGAATCGAAGCGTTTGAAAAAACTTCGTAGAGTGCTACAAACACACAAAATGCTTCTAATTTTGAAGCTTAGCTCGTTCTCCGGACTGAGGCCCCAAATGCATTTCATTCAGGAGATGCTTGCCTGTCTTCCCACACTTGAAAAGGTTATCATCAGTCGTCCTTATAGGTTTGATCGGAGCAAGGAACATGAAACTTTTGAAGAAATATCGCATTTTCCACGTGCATCTGCGAAAGCTAAACTCGTCTTCCCAAGTTGAATCTACCTCTACTAATTCACTTTTGTTGGTGTGGTTGTAGTACTTACAGATATGCGAAATGGTAGGAATGGTAAATTTTTGCAAGTATGCCAATTTTGTATGACTGACTTTGACATGGCCAATGGATGGGTTTTGAGACACATGCAATGGAAACTTGCTTTTAAGTGATTTGATAATAAGGGGTAAATATCGTCATTTGAGCTTATTCTCAATCGGTTAGTGCGTGTCTAGCTTAGATGACAATGAAAGACGGTAAAAGGGTTTAATAGAATTTAGAATCGTGTCGGGTTAACTGGATTGGATAATAAGACATTTGAGTTGAATCACATTAAGAAATTTTTAATTTTAAAGTCTTTTTAACACTAATAACTCTTTTAGAACATGCATAGTACTACCTGTTCGTACTTTAAAAAGATATTGTAAAACCTAAGTGATTCCCCGAACGAGACTATACCTAAACCCAAATAATAAAAAATTATACTGTGTCCCATGACATTGGGAATAAGCAAATTTTATGGTCGATCTAAAGTCCACTAAGCAAATTCTATGGTCGATCTAAAGTCCACTATGTACCTATATATAAGCATTTTTTACTGCTTAGATAAATATTTATGTTTAAAAAAATTAATATCAGAAGGTCTGCAAAAAATGGGATGCACCTAATTTGCACCAAAGAAGCACTCTGGGAATAAATGTCATGAAAATTCCGGTAATTGATAGTTCCTACACCCGGTAAATTCCCACCCCGGCACGGCCCGAACCCACCCCTCTCAATTGCACCCCACAAGATTTAGTTGACTTTGGAGTCAAAATTTGACTCAAAAGTCAACTAAATATTGTGGGGTGCAATTGACGAGATGCAGGGTGCGTCGAGTCGGGCCGGGGTGGGAGAGTTTATCAAGAGATTAGAGGAGTAAGAACCATCAATTTTTCAAATGAAGTACTATAGGTACTCTAATCGGGCCTCATATCATAGGATGACATGGAGGGCTCGTGTCAGCCGAACCCCAACCAAATAAAATTAATAATATTAATTGACGAGATGCAGGGTGCGTCGAGTCGGGCCGGGGTGGGAGAGTTTATCAAGAGATTAGAGGAGTAAGAACCATCAATTTTTCAAATGAAGTACTATAGGTACTCTAATCGGGCCTCATATCATAGGATGACATGGAGGGCTCGTGTCAGCCGAACCCCAACCAAATAAAATTAATAATATTACAAGACGAGGTATCGATCCGGAAAGTGATCGGTCCGGTTTTGACCAAATTTCAGGCCCGTTCGGATCCAGACTGAGTAATGCACACCTACTAGATAGAAGTATACCGTAGCTCATTTGATGGGTGTGATCAACATTGTATGCCTTTCATGAACGGATTACTCTCATGAATAGGATGTTTCAAAAGAACAAAAATGTTTCTAAATAAAATAAAACACGATTGGAAGAAGAAAACTTGTCTGTGATTAAATAAAAAAAAATCGATATAAATAAAAATTTCAATGGAACATAAAAAGAACAAACATGCAGTGTTTCTTAATAGAAGCTGAAAGGATGAAAACTTGATCAAAAGAAAGTAATTTATAAACAATTTCTACTTCAGGGGATGCACGCGGATACCGTAGAACTTGTTCCATAAAAATGGGATTCACGCTTCGGTACAAAGCAAAAATGACAACCTTTTCAAGTGCGGGAAGACAAGCTAGCTAGCATCTCTTCAATGAAACGCATTTGGGACTTCCATCCCGTAAAGAATGCAAGCTTCAAAAACAGAAGCATTCCGTGTCTTCCGATTACACTCTGGAATTCCTTCAAGATCTTCGGCGTAACATTAATTATTTCTGTCTCATGCACAGCAAAACTCTACAAGCAAACCAAGGGAAAGAGAAGAATAATTCAGCACTTCAGAGACAGAAAAGTTACGCGAATGCAGAAGAACATATTAAAAATGGAGTAAAGAACACTTGCCTGAAATGATATTATAAGTTTGCATAACTTTGGGCATTTAAGCATCAAGTTTAGAAATTGGGATGCTCTCTCATCATCTCTGAAACCAAAACCTGATAGCTTCAGTATTTCCACATTTAGTAGGAGCGCTTGTCGTGGAAATCCCTTTATAGCATATTCGCGAAGAAAATGATTGAAAATCAAATGAAAATAAAGTTAGATCACTTAAAATATTTGGAGTAATGTATTACTCCGTATAAATATATGAGAGTCGAAAAGAAGAAAGAAAGAGACTTAGGTAAAATACCATGAGAAAGTAAATGTCCACATCAAGAATGCGAATGCATGTAAAGTCCAAGTCGGTCGTGAAAGGTTTGTCCACTCCCCAAGCAGTACGGCATTGGAATCTCAAAGTTTACTCTCTGGACAAAAATGAATTGAGGGCTTATCCTCCAAAAATATTTGGGCATTTAAATTAAAGATGACACATAGTTGGGAGCCCAAACCCAACAAGACAAAACTGCAGTTTTAGCAGCTTGTTGAATAGGCAAGAATCCCATAATATGGTCGAGTATATATCTCTATAGGGAGTTGGCTGATTCTATCCCTCCCTGCCATAGTAATTTGATGGCACTGGCATATGCAAATTTAAGAAACAAATGAATAAAAAACCAAGACATTGCATGTTCCAAACTAGACTAGAATTATGAAGCGGAAACACATGAACGGACCAAAACATACCCTAACTTAATAGTACAATATTTATCCTTTAATTGTCTCAAAAGCAAGGTTTCATTTTTTTTCTTACTCCGTAACATGTAGCTCATAAGTTTTCTCTCCTCTACAAAAATTAAATTCCTATCACTCATTTTACTTTTTAGCACTTCTGTTAAAGCTTTGTTAAAATTTCGGTGGGTCGAGAACAACGGGCAGAGTATCGGATAAAATTAACCACCTAGATATAAAGTCTACTTTCCCATCTAAAGGCTTCACCCTTCTATATATCATAGTGGTATTCTTTCTCTATTTTTTGATGTGAAAATTCCAACAAGCTCGTGAATTCAAAGCATGAAATTTACTCTCTGAGTATTTGGTAACATTTTTATTTACAATACACACAAACAGATTCTTTTGAATTAATTTTTAAATTTGTATGTTTTATTTTTTAGTTCCTCATAGATTCTAAAAAATTGTCTAAAAAATAAACTCAGTCAAACATCTTAAACTGAAATTACCTTATTTAAAATACGTACAAATTAAAAACAAAAACACAATTATTTTTTGATCAATTTTTTTTCCACATTGTCATTTCAATTTCTAAACTTTTAAATTTCATTTATAATATGTAATGTTGGACCAAAAAATATTTGGTATGAGAATACTTTTATTCACACGATACCATAAAAAGTACGAGTAGTATTTATTCACGCGGTACCATAAAAAGTACTTGGTAATATTTATATTTTTTTATAAAAGGGTATTTAAAAGTTATACTTTTTATTTTCCGTGTTAATTATACGTTTTGTAACACGGTACCATAATTAATATCCATACTTTATTTAAAAAGACATGGATTCAAGAGATGGTTTTCCCGCCCATGCGTTATTGCATTAAAAATGACAATTGTTCACTTAAAATGGTAATGACAAAATGATAATTTTTATTCCATTAACAAACATGGTTATTAATATTACATGGTTCTATCAAAATGGTAATTTTTATTCCATCATTTAATGGCAATTAATGTTACATACGAATGTTACACGGTTCTATCAAAATGGTACGGAGTAATTTTTATCCCATTATTATGGTATTAACCATACTAATACAAATTGTAATTAATGTTACACGGTATTAACAAATGGTAATTAACATTACACGGTATTAACCATAATACTATAAATGGAAATTAAATTACACGGTATTAACAAATGGTAATTTTTATTCCATTAACAAATGACAATTAATATTACACGGTATTAACCGTAATAATTAGGTTAAAATGGCGGAAAGGTAAGTTAATTATTGTGAAGTGAAATTTATATTACTTTTAAGTTTTAACACACAATGCCTTTAAAAACGTTATATTATTAATCTAAAAAATTATTATTACTATTAATCCAAAAAATGGTTTAAAAGCTATAAATACAGTTCTTTTTTTATCACACAATATTTATCAATTCGTATGGAGTGTACTAATTGTACCATTTGTTACATTATTTTAACCTTTTTTTGGTACACTCCATAGAGTTTCTTTTTTTGGTAAAGCTAAGTTATCCATACTTTATTTAAAAAGACATGAAGTCAATATTGCGTTTTCCCGCCCAAAGAGTATGGCCATTACATATGATAATGTGAAGTTAAAATGGTAAGTGTCCGAATTTATAGTAATATAAAATTTACGTTTTATAAGTATAATTATTATATTATATTTATAATAATTAAGTTTCATTTTTAATGTCCGAAATTTATACGAACAAGAAAGGTAAGTTATAAAAAATATTTATAAAAATAGGCAAAAATTATTTATAAAAAATATTTATATACTTTATTACACGCCAATCAATGCTATTAAAAACGTGTGTATGATTATTCTTATCATAATTATATAATTATATGATTACCGTGTGACTAGGTTATATAAAAACGTGTGTATAATTATAGTATAATATAATTATGGTAAAAATAATTATGCACACAGTTTTGAAAAAATTAATACGATAAAACCCTTTAAATATATTTATATTTATGTTTATGTTTAATAGCAAGAAAGGTAACAACCAAAAATGTAATAATTATTACTCCGTGTAATTATTACCTATATAAATGGTAAGTGTCCGAAATTATAGTGTCCATTTTTAACCCGTGCACGAAATATGACCATTACATATGGCAATTGTGAAATTAAATGGTAAGTGTCCGAAATTAAAGTAATATAAAATGGTAACTGTGAAATTAATATAATTATTATTTTTGTAAGCATGGTAAAAAATAATTATTTTTATAAGTGTCCGAAATTATGATATTAAGCACGCTATTAATGAAATATAATTAATTATTGTTTCAAATTAATTATAGTAATTTTAGTTATAATAATTTCAATTAAAATTGTATACTACGTGTGATTACCGTGTCAAATTGATTATAGTAATTAAATGTTACTTACCGTGTAAAATTAATTATATTAATTTCAATTATAGTAATTTTAATTAAAATTTTATATTACGCAATTAAAAAATCTAATATTACGTGTGACTACATAATTGTATATTAATTACCGTGTAGAATTAATAATAGTAATTTTAATTATAGTAATTTTATAATGGCTATATTTAAATTATAGTGGCTATATTTTATAATTGTAATATTTTACTATATTTTAGTTGTAGTAATTTTAATAAAAATAATAATAATTAACGAAGGTATTAATTATATAACACTGTGATTACATAATTGTATACTCTGTATTAATTACCGTGTCATTTTAATTATAGTAATTTTAATTATAGTAATTTTAAATATAATAATTTAAATAATTAGTAATTGGTAAGTATTTAAAGATGGTAAGAAATTCAAGTTTCCAAAATTATAGTAATATAAAATTGACTATAACTATTGTAAGAATTAAATATCCCTTAAATATATATATTTACGTTTAATAGTGAGAAAGGTAATAACCAAGAAAGGAAATAACTAACTTTCATTTTTAAAGTGTCCGAAATTATACTAGCAAGAAAGGTAGTAAAAAAAGGTAATAATTGACCACGGTATTAGTTATGTAACCGTGTGACTAAATAATTGTATATTAATTATTGTGTCAAATTAATTATAGTAATTTTAATTATAGTAATTTTATAATGGCTATATTTTAATTATTGTGGCTATATTTTATAATCACTATATTTTACGATATTTTAATTATAGTAATTTTAATAAAAAAAGGTAATAATTAACCAAGGTATTAATTATATAACCGTGTGACTAGATAATTGTATACTCCATATTAATTACTGCGTCATTTTAATTATAGTGATTTTTATTATAGTAATTTTAAATATAATAATTTAAATAGTTTAAATATAGTAAAAATAATTTAAATTCATTATAGCACTTTGAAAAATAATATTTTTTTAAACCCCGTATGAAAAAATCATGTTATAAATACATCCATTTACCAAGCTTTCATAGCCATTACAATCATCGTGAACTTTTTTCTCATACGTTTCAAAACTGTCATTCCTACGAAAAATGGGTATCTTAACTGCTTTGAAAAATGTTGATGAGCGGTCATCAATGTTAATGATGAAGCTACGAGCAATTAGGGTTTATCACATATTTCCGTAACAATAATCCAACATGTTTTAGTCACGGACAACTTTATGTTGCAGTTTCAAAAGTAACTAATCGTAGTGGGTTGAAGATTCTAATATGCAATGAAGACACTATTCCCATAAATTGTTCAAATAATGTAGTCTATAAAGAAGTCTTTCAAAATGTGTAAAGCAGTGATATTTTGCATCTTAAAATAATATAATCTCAATATTTTATTACATCTCATTTTTTATCATTGAAAAATGATTTGAATTTAATAACATAAAAACGACACGTGCAACGCACGGGTGTGATACTAGTACTTTTTATAAAATGGTATTAAAAAGTTTAAGGTACGGAATTACCTTATTAATAAATAATATATTACACGGGAGTTTAATTACCATAATTACCTTTTACTCGACACTTTAACTAATTACACATGGTACATTATAATTCATAAATATTTATTACCTTTCTACACGCCACTATTACATTTAACACTTACCTAGTCATGTTGAGCGCTTACCTGTTGTAATTTTGGAGGAGTAATTTATGGTATGTTTGGTTGGGAAAACATTTTCTTGAAATTTTTTTAAGGAAAATGATTTACAATGAAAATTATTTTTCAATCATATTTTCCATTGTTTGGTAGAGATAAAAATTGATGGAAACCGCTTTTTTGGGGCGTCGACCCGACGAAATCGGTACCGGGTCGGCACCGCACCGAATAGCGAAATCCGGAAATTAAATAAATAAATAAAGTGGAGAGAAAGTATTTATACGTGGAAACCCGGAGAAAATCACGGGCCTTTTTAGGCGGTGCCATGCCAAAGGGAGGAACTTTTATTAATCTCGGGGAATTTACACATACATCTTTGTAGGAGCTTGGAGCCATTAATGGTGCTCCAAGCTAAAAGAAGAAGAAGAAGAAGAAGAATGAAGAATAGTAGTGAAACTTGTAGGAATTTGCCTTGGCCTCTCTCTTCCGTTCCCCTCCTTCTTGTGTAAATGTCCATTATAAAGGGGAGTACATGCATGCATCCCAACAATGCCATGAGGTGGCCATGTCACCTCCATGTGCATATGTTTAGTATATGGGCTCCACGGAATATTTTCACATCACTTCAAATATATTCTTCTCTCCATATATCTATGGTTCCGTCTTGAATAATTTATCTGATTTATATCTTGGGCCAGATAAAATTGAGCTTTCTTGTACTGTTCAAATGATATTGAATTGGATTAGGAAAAATCCCTAATCCATCAAAAATATTATCATAAAAAAAAAATTTCATAATATTTTACAATTTCAAATTCCAAACTTACCAATTCTACATTTTGAATTCTATTCGTATAACACAGGGAAAAATTTGAAATCCAAACTTTAAATTCTGCGAGTGAAAATGAAATCACGTGTAACTTATAACAATGAAACAAGTCCTATAGACTTCCGGTGTGCCTGCAAACAAATTAAAAATTAAAAACAAAGAATTAAATTTAAAATTTACCATTTAAAATTTTAAATTTAAAATTTGTAAAATATTTTTGACAATTATTTGAAAAACTAATCTTTGATATTTATTTTGTTATAAGTTCAAGTAGTTACACTTTATAACCTTTTGTTATTCTCTTTTTGTTCTAAAATTTTATTTCCATGTCGATTTACGAGGTTTGAATGACATATTTTCTATTAAATTTATTTAATTATAAGTGCAAAATTTAAAAATAAAATTATATATTTTAAAACTATATAAAAGATTTTACAAAACAAGAGATGACATGACTATATTATTTTATAAGTAAATTTCATAAATGATTCATAATTATAATTTTCCATATTTAGTCTACAATATTAAAAATATTATATAAATGGACATCAATTTATGTAAAGTATTCATAAATATTCTTTTAGGTCAAGTATGACAAAATATTTAATTTACATATACTGTCGACCGATTATAAACCAATTTTAAAAAATTGAGGATCATTTATGTAAATATTTTAAATTGGGGGCTAAATATTACTACGTAAAAATTAGTTGTAGTTAGGGACTATTTATAGAATTTAATCCTAACTTATCAAATGACCAACAAAAATAAGTGAAGAAAGTGATTAAAATTTCTGGAAAATAAAAGAAAAATGATTTCTGGAAAGTCATTTAATTTTTGATAATGTGAAAAGAAAATTAGTAATGAGTGATTAAATATTAAGAATTAGTTGTAATTAGTACTATTTAGGTAAATCCATCTTTAAGAAAAAAAGATAAGACTATGTTTAAAACATAGAAAATGTATCGAAATATGAATTTCATCTTTTTATCTTAAAAATAGGAGTTACGGTGTTAGTAATGTCAATATGTAATATCAATAAGATATTGTGAACTGTCAATATACAGTGACACATTGTCACATTGTAAATTTCTATTTAAAAAAGCAAAAAACTACTATTTTAGTATTTTCTGTGATTTTGTTTTTCTTTAAAATTTATGGACGCGTTTTTATTATTATTTTTAAGGATATATTTTTACTATTTTTATGGATGTCTCTTTACTTTCAGTTTCATGAGTTTATGAATGTTAAGATTTATAAATACACTTAAAATGTTATTTAGTCATTTTTGGACATTCATTTTCCGATATCCATTTTTCCTAAAATAAATAAAATAGAAATAGACTTTATTCAGATTTCTAGCCAAGCAACAGAAAAAGAAAATGCTTTCTAGAAAATAACTTATTTTCCACAAATCACTCTCCTAATCCAAGTGGAGCCTTAGAACATCTTGAAAAGCACCCCTAAATTATCTACATGATACCTTATATAAATTAAATATGTCTCTAAGTAGTTTTTCGTAAAAAATGTTACTTAAACGGTGATTAAGTAAATTTTCAAAATAATCATTTCTATACAATTTCATGTAAATTAAAGCAATCATTGGCTATATATATTTCATAAATTATTTATAACATGTAAAAATATTTTAAAATTTGAATCAAATTTATCTTTAACTAGAAAAGATCATTTTGGAAAAACACTTCATTATAAATCATATATTTTAGAATTTATTTTAAATTTAGATGATAAGAAGTACAAATAGATCTTTCAATCATAGCCGAAAAATTAAGTGTCTAGCTAACCTACCAAGACAGTGCAATTGGTCAAATCAAGAATGCAAGTAGATCTCAACCCCAAAATTGGTATCCCATTTATACACCATCCAAACACAGACACTAAGTGACACTAACTTAGTGTCTGTTATCACAGACATTAAATATCTGTGTTTGTTTGATGTACAAATGAGGTACCCCATTTTGGTGTACCCCTCGCATGCCCCTAACAATAACATTAAGGGGAAACATATCCTCAAAATTAATAAATGACATACTTTCCAACTTAGAAACAATAACAACGTAATTTGTAAGATTTTTGAGGACCAAAGTAGACGGTGAAAATGATGTGAGATGACTTTGATGAAACACGTGGGGAATTTCATGGTTCGATAGAGAAACCACACAGATAGAATCTCGAGCGTAAAAATACGCAATCTCAAACCTTTCTTGGAGCACACCAAGTTAGAAACCGCATCCATTTGGCATATCATAGCGATTCATACAACCATTAGGCATATCACTAACCACAACGACAAAAGTGATTTGCACTGGATGGTAGATTCGACTTGAAAAGATAAGTCACCGATAAGCAATTTTTGGTTTGTGGGATGCACACGGGAAATGCGAAATTTCTTCAAAAATGTCACGTTTTTTGTTCCAATCAAACCTATGGGGCAAACAAATAATGACAACCTCTTCAAGTGATGGAAGAGAGGCAAGCATCTCCTCGATGAAATGCATTTGGGGCCTCAAACCTGTGAACGAGCTAAGCTTCAAAGACGAAAGCAGCTTGTGTGTTCGTACCACACTAAGGAGTTTTTTCAACAGTCCGGAATCTACACGCTTGTTAATATCCCCAGCCAACTACATAAAAGCAAAACAAGATAAGAAGAAAGAATAAATAGTCCAGCATTTCAAGCATGATTGAAGAACATGGGCACAACCAGAAATCTATCCGAATTATTTACCATGAATACCACATCTTCAAATCCTATTTCAAGATGGGATAGCTTTGGACATTTGCACAGCAAGCATACAAATGCAGAAATCCTAGCATCATCTCGGAAACAAAACTCGGATAGCTTGAGTCGCTCCACATTTAGTGCAAATGGCTGTAATGAATGTCCCTTTGAAGTATATTGGCCAAGAAAACCCTATGAAATCATATGGAAATGCTCAATTCAAATGCATGGAGTAAGATAATATAAACAGATCACTGTCTAAAAGAAAAAGTCTGGCTAAAATACCTGGAGACTGAAACTGTCTATATCAAGAACGCTAATAGAACTCAAGTTCAAGTTCACCGGGAGAAAGTTGCCCGTTTTGCTACTAAAACAATGGTTGATTGTCAAACTGTAAAGATTTCTAGCACCAATGTTGAAGTGAAACAGATTCGTACAATACATAAATGACAAATTCTCCAGCTTGAGAACATCAACAGCGTAGCTCGAAAGACCTCTAGTACCAAAGTCACAACATTTAAAACTAAGTGACGTAGCATTGGGCAAAATGCATGCGGAACTTTGTGGTTCAATATAAAACCGTTCCAGATGTAATATCCGGAGTGTTGAGCACGAAAAAATGCAATCCCGCAGCTAATATTTACCATTAACAAAACAAAGGTTGATTTCTTCGACACCTTGTCCCGTGACCGACATCAACAACTTATCCGTGGCAGGCGACTCACACCTAACATCTAGTGTTACAGGCCATGAACGGAGACACACAAATTTCCGGATAGATCCCTTGTGGTGCAAGAGAATGTTGTTGATTACATATAAACACGAATAGATCGTGACGCATTTGATGCCCCGAGGGCATTTCTTAGGAAAAATACGAAAGAAGTTATCATCAAAGCACAACCGCGAGAGACTGAACCACACATCTCTCCAAACCCTAGACAGAACTGCAGTTTTAGCAGCTTGTTCGACAGGCAATAGTCCCATAATGTGGTCGAGTATCACTACCGGGAGTTGGCTGATTCGATCCCCATCCGCTGCGTGATACTGGACCACACTTCTCGACATAGCAGTTCAGATAGCTCTGGCATTTATGTAAATGAAAGAACAAATGGATTAAAACTAAAACATAACCCTAAAAATTGATGAATTTGACAAAGACTAACCAAAACATATGTTTATTGAAGACAAGAATTATCCTTCAAAGATCAGGAATTCATCATATGGCAAAAAAGAATGGAGCTTTCGGTTCGTGATTGTAAGTAACCCACCGGAAGGGCAGATCGGGAAGATGAGAGATTGAGATACTGAGAGACTATTGGGGGAAAATGAGATAGATGGTCCAAGTGTCCAACATTTTTAAAAAATACTAAGACTTTCCATGTTTGTTTTTGACGTGATGGAACAAAGTAATTAAAAGTATGAGTATAATGACACGTTCATTAAAAAATTTTGCCAAAATAGAAAACGAGAAAGAGATTGGTGGACGACCCAAAAAGAAAAGTCAGAAAGAAATTTGTTGGACCTATTCAAGCAAAAAGAATAAAGAAAACCCCCTAAATAGGAGTAAACATGGATCATATCTTCAAAATAGGAGTTCAAACTTAAACTTCTCTAAATAGGAGTAATTAATTAAATATATGTTTGAATCAACTAACAGGATCAAGAACGGCCAGAAATTGTTCAATTTGAATGAAAAAATGTGAATAATGAAAGTGGGAAAACCAGAGCTGAATCCGAAGAAAGACCAAACACCAACAAGAGCTTCTTAGCTCATCATCTTCTACAGAGACTATGCATTTCTATATCATTACAATAGCCTATCCAATCTTTGTTTTATTAAGAAGGAACATTTAACCATTGTCAATGGCCACCGCCGTATATATACGTAATGATGCCGAAGATTAGTTTTTTTCTATAATAAAAAAGGTAAAGAGGAGCATTAGTGAAGATTAATTGGTCTACCAGTAAAACTTTCGTTGCATGCTTTTAGTGAGTTGTAGAAGATGGTTACATTTCAGGTATCTACTACACAGTGTCATTGCATTTGGTTTTGCATTATGTAATTATGTAACATTGTACACCATCTTCTACAACTCACTAAAAGGTAAATCATGGTAACCCAAGCACAACACTTAGCTAGACCATATCCTAGTGCGCACCAGAGACTCCCCCATTTTTCAGAGGTGATCGCCTCCACAACGGTCGCTGCCAGGTTTCGATCCTTGGTCATTCTCCAAACTTCACCAAGTGTTTGCCACTTGGGCTACCCGTGCGGGTAAGAATTTCAATTTCATATTTGAGAAATGAAAAGCAATCCATGTTGGTAACCATAAAGTGGATAACAATGTTTTTTATAGGGGTAAAAACGTTTTTTCTAAAATTAGATTATTTTAAGCAGACAATTTTTTTTATGAAACAAAGAAATTGCATGAATGTTTTAAAATATAAACAAATATTAATAATAAAGTACATTAAAATATATCTAACTCATTTTAAAATATAATTCGATACACGCTAATTATTTTATTTTATTAAGGGGCGGTTTGTTTCAGCCTCTTAATGGTTCAGCACTTAATGGTTCAGACTGTTTGTTTCGTGAGCAGATGTCTGAATGGTTCAGACATTTGTCTCTGAATGATTAAGTATTATACAGAGTTTGAATGGTTAAGACCTCTTATCTGAATTGATCAGACTTTTGCCTCTGAATAGTTAAACAATATACTAGTTCTTAATGGTTCAGACCTCTTGCTGGTTCAGCACTTAATGGTTCAGATCTCTTACTGGTTCAGCACTTACCTATTCAGAAGTTGCCAAACAGCCCTAAGTATTATTAATCTTAAAATAAATATGGACCTTTCGGCATAGTTTTAAAAATCGGACCGGACCGGCCGGTTCGGACCGTGAACCGGAAAACCGGTGGTCCAACAGGTCCGGTCCGGCCCTTTGGACCGTTACCTGCATTGAACCGGTGTGAACCGGTCCGGCCAATTTTTTTTTTTGCGAATTTTTGCATTTCCCCCCAAAAAATACACCGTGGGGTTTTGAACTCAAGATCTTTTAGACATTTATAGTTAAGTTCCTACCATCTAAGCTATGATGATTTTTGTTACACATTCACTTAATCTTTTAAAATATTTCATGATTAAAAAAAGATTGTGTAAAGCTTTCTTTTTATTTTTAAAAATATAATTGATAGTATTACAAGATGCATATCATGTAAATATTTCATTTGAGTGTTTTTAATATTAGACAACTTATTTGAAAAAATTAAAATTAAGTCTACACTTATAAAATTTTTAATATTGTTTTTTAAATACGTAAATTTTATTTTTTAACTTAGTAAAATAACTCAAGTGTATTAATATAATTTTAGTCAAATGTTATAAATTACTTTCTTTAGTTGTTTACAAATGAAGAAGTGCATGTGTCTAAAATATTGAAACAGTTGATTCTAATATAAACTTCATATCACAACTATTAACTTATTTAAATATTTAAAAAAATTGTGTAAATTATAAAACAATAAATATCACCTCTTCTTTTATAATTTTTTTATTTGTTTAAATACGCATTTGTTTCAATTTAATGCTACTGCTCAAATAATTAAATTGCTTGTAAATTTAGTATTACATCATAAATTTTTTATTTATAGATAAAGGAAATATAATTTCATTAAATATTATTTTTTATATATGTGTGTGTGTGTGTATATATATATAATTTTCAAATATGTGTGAACTACTGATACGACCACTTAAACCACCGGTCCGACCAACCAGTGAACCATGTGTCTATTTGGTATTTACCCTACGGGGGTATATAAGCTTTGGCAATCCTTATGAGTAAATAAACAAGGAATACTCTGTTTCGCCTTAGCGGAAGGTCAACCAGTAATCGGGTCATCTTCTCTGCCCGTTCCGGACGATTACAGGTTTTCTTCTAATCTAACCTAATCCATAATCAACTTATGGTGTCTGCCCGTTTCCGGCCCGAATTCTCAATTTCGACGCTACTAATTAACTTCCAAATTCTGTTTCTCATTCCCTCGTTTACGTGTTTGGGATGTGTACACTCTTTTGATGGATTAAATTATCGATCTTTTTTCCTTCACCAATTTAATTTTAGGGTTTTACTTTACAGTAGTGTTGATTCATTACTTCTTTCTTTTGCATATGCCACAGCTATCAAAATTGCTATGAAGGGAAGTGTGGACCGGTGTCGTGCAGATGTTAGGGATCGGATCAGCGAACTCCCGGTAGAGATACTTGACCATATTATGGGATTTTTGCCTGTTCAACAAGCTGCTAAAACTGCAGTTTTGTCTAAGGTTTGGAGAGATGTGTGGTTCAGTCTCACACGGTTGTGCTTTCATGTCATTGATGATAACTTCTTTAGGTATTTTAATCACAAGTATCGAGCGGGTAGCGAATGCTTAGAGGAATCTTTACTTTTTTATGTAATCTCCAAAGTTCTCTTGGAACACAAGGGATCTATCCGGAAATTTGAGTGTCGTCATTCATCGGCTCGGGCAGAAACGGTTAGGTCTCGATCATTTGACATGGATCAGTGGTTGTTGTTAGTCACACAACAAGGCGTTGAAGAAATCTCCCTTCATTTTGGGCTAAATGAATACAAGCTACCGGTTTGCATATTTTCGTGCTCAACACTCAGGAGATTGGATCTCTATGGGCTGTTAATTGAACCCCCACAAGATTCCCAGTGCGCTTTTCCAAATGTCACCTCGCTTAGTTTTAGATGTGTTCAGTTCCGTTCTAGAAATCCTTCAGGCTACGTTGTTGATGTTCCTAAGCTGGAGAATCTGTCATTTATTCATTGTGAGGATATGTTTCTTTTTAACATCAATGCTAGAAATCTATGCACCTTGACAATCGAGTGTTGGTATACTACCCAATTGGGCAAATTTCTCCCGGAAAACTTGGACTTGAGATCTATTCGCACTCTTGAAATGGACAATTACACTCTCCAGGTAATTATAGCTAGACTTATTTTTCGACTATTGTCTATTTATAACATATCACTCCATGCGTTTGAAGCAATCTAACTTCACTTCCGTATGATTTCCTAGGATTTTCTTGGCCAATATACTACAAATGGAATTGCACTACAACTGCCCTTACTAAACGTGGAACTACTCAAGCTATCAGAATTTTGTTTCCTTGATAATGCTATTGCTAGGGTTTCTGCTTTTGTATGCTTGCTGTGCAGATGTCCAAAGTTACGCAATCTTGAAATTAAATTTGAATCTCGGGTACGTAATCTGTAATTTTTCAGGGTTAAAGACTTGGGTAAAATTCTTTCCGCGTCCATGTTCCTTCATTGAATTATGCCTGAAATCCTGGATTGCTGGTCTTTCCTTGTTATCTTGTTTCTGCTTGTATGTAGTGTGTGGAGGATGTATACAAGTTTATAGATACTACATCGAGGGATTTGAAAAAATCTCCGTTGTGTTTTACGGAGGCACAAGACGCTTTTATCTTTGAAGATTAGCTCATTCAAAGGACTGAGGCCCCAACTGCATTTCATTAAGGAGATGCTTGCATGTCTTCCAGCACTTGAAAAGGTTGTCATTATTTGTTTGCCTCCTATGTTCGGTTGGAACACAAAACGTGACATTTTGGATGAAATTTTGCATTTTCCGTGTGCCTCCCCCAAAGCGAAAATCGCTTATCACTGATCTTGTCAAGTTGAATCTACCACTACAAATTACTTTCATTGTTGTGGTTAATGGCAGGATTTTTTTTTTTGTTAAGTATTTGAATCTTGTATGAATGACTTTGACATGCCAAATGGATGACTTTCCAGCCAAATGCAATAAAAATTAAACTTTCTTTTTGAGACATATGATTGAATGTAAAAGATGAATAGTCATGATTTTAGATATATTTTGGTTATTGGGAGTGAGTTCATATTTTTTGGGTTTTCTTTCTTTTTTCTTTTGGTTCACTTTTTTTATTTTTAATTGGGAGTACTTTTTTTTGTTTTCACTTTTGTTTTTTTGGACTTATATACTTTTTTTGTTTTAAACTTTATACTCCGTAGTACTTTTTAATTTGTGCTTTTTTGTTTAAAGTTTTATGTTTCTTGTTAATTAAAATTTTAACAAAAGTTAAGAAAATAAAATCAATGAAATGTTAATTAATTATGTGCTTTAAACTTTTTTATTTAGTTTTAAACGTAATTGTGTAGTTGTACATTTTCTTAAATCGAGTACTTGTAATTTTTTTAATCAAGTACTCCGTAGTATTTTTTGAATTCGAATACTTGATTTTTTTGTGTGCCTCTTTTTTGGCTATTTATCGTTCTTTTTTCTTTTACTTTTGTAATTGTAATTCTAAATTAAATATTAATGAGAATTTTATTTTATGTTAAGTTTAAATAATTTAAAATAAAAATGTTTTAAAGAAGATAAATTAAAAAAGATGGGGTTGATCCTTACGCTGAAGATAAAAAAGATGAGCGTAATCCTTATCTCTTCCCAATGACTCTGCTTGAGTTTGAAAGAATACTTGGAGATGAGGCTCATCCTTTTTACAAAGGACCACTTTGAAAATTTATTCAGTAAGTTTGGGTATCAAGAGTAAAATTCTATAAATGATCCCCAAATTACAAGTATTTTTTTTATATTTAGTTTCTAATTATAAAATATTTCATAAACGGACCCCAATTTTTGAAAACTACTCCTTATTTGGTCCTTCATGGAATATCTATGACAATTATTTTTGTCGTATTTGGTGAAAAATACTATTTCTGAAATAGATTTTAAAAAGAAATATTTGTGCTAAATATTACTAAAACTTAAGTGATTTTCCTAAATAGCATTTAAAATGTTATATTCCCTAAATAGCACTTAATAATGTCCAGTTGTGGTGAACATTTACTTGAATAATGAGTAATGGTCAATGACAAAAAGTGCTATATTGGAAAAAAACACATATGATGCTATTTAAAGAAAGTCATTATGTTTTAGTGCTATTTATGTAAATTCTTATTTTAAAAATTAATGATTATTTTTTGAAATATCTTATAATTGAAAAGAAATATTTGCACTAAATAACACAAAAACTTAAATCATTTCCCAAAATTACACCTAAATTAGTTTATACCAAACTCTCGTGGACTATTTATTGAATTTACCCATAACTTTCACTACGCTCAAAGGAGTAGTTCACCTTAGCAATCCCTCCGAGTAATCATCCTCTCTGGGTTTCTCTTCAGCGGAAGCTCAATCTGGTCATCTTCTCAGCCCGTTTCGGTGGATCACGAGTTGGTATATCGTACATCCGGATGTACCTAGAAATAAGTACATTCCGGTAGTACTCAATCTGAAATAAAGTAGTACTCATTCTCGTACAAATATAAACATTCATTTTGAAATACGTAGTACTTATTCTGGCAAAGGTAGTATTCATTTTTACACATTTATCTAATATAATTATAATAAATGGCGTATTGTTCATTCTTTAAAAAAACAATACTCATTCTCAAATAAGGAAATGTTCATTCTGAAATAAAGTACTCCCTCCGTCCCAAAAAGTCTTTCATGAGATGCGCAAAAAATGAAACAGGAAAGACTTTTTGGGACGGAGGGAGTATTGTTCAATTTTTTCACAATTAAAAATATCAGCACCATTATCAACTTCTTCCTCTATTCGATTCCTTCCTACTCATTTATACTCTCTGAGGATGGAGAATTTAAAACCGAGATTTATTTATGTTTGTATTGAATAAAAATGTGATAATTCTCATAAGTGCTGATACTCTTTCTCAAATTTGCTGGTACTCATTGTCATATATAATAATTCTCATATATATTCTTGACTCTAGATAAAAAGTTTGCAGAATTTACAAAAATACAAAGATAAATGTACCTAACAGCTGGATGTAACATATAATTTGCCTTTGATTACAATTTAGACAGTACTAATTATGCAATCGAACTTCCCCCACGAGACATTTGGCTCTGTTTAAATAAAAAAAAAGGGGTCTTGAATAGGGATATGCTTTGGTTATTAGGGTCGGTTCTTTAATTTTAGGGTTATAGCTTTCATTACTTTTGATTCATTTGTTCTTTCATTTCTTATTTTTTGAGTGCTATTGAAAACAAGGTATATTATAAATTAAACCCTAATTCATCCTATAATTATAAAACATAAATTGTCTAGTAATCAAATTATATAGGATAAAGTGTTAGGATTATATAATAGTATTAGAAAGTAGTTTTATAATTATATTTTTCTGCTTTAACACTCTTCGTCTTGTTGACTGACTCATTCTCATCTCCAACATCAAGCATTTTCTTTTGCAATCTCTTAGGGGGGTGTATTGTATAAGGAATTCTATTCATATTTTTAAAATCAATGACTTATATTCATGTCAATGGACTTGTGTTAAAAGTCATAGACTTCTATTGATATTTTAAAAGTCATTGATTTTATACACATAATTTCTATGGATTTTAACAAGTCTATGGACTTTTATTTGAATAATTTTATAGATTTCACTTCCACCATCCAAGTATGTTCGTCCAACATTATTTTTTGCACTCAAATAAGATTACTTTTAATTTTCAATTAAATAAATATTATATTTTTATATTAATAACAAAATAAATTTTATATTAATGGAACAAGTATTTCGTGTCTATATATATATATGTATGTATGTATGTATGTATGTATGTATGTGTGTATGTATCCATGTATGTATGTATGTATGTATGTATGTATGTATGTATGTATGTATGTATATGTATGTATATAATTTTATGTAAAATAAACTAAAATAATTTTTTTAAAAATATTTTTTACAAGACAATTCTAATTGTATTATTTTTAATACCAATTGATAATGTAAATTTAATTTAATTGATGATCAAAATTTATCAAATTTGGATTTAAAAATAAAATTTCATCGAGCACATAGGGGAAAAGTAAGAATACTAATAAAATAGATAGAAAACATTGCATTGTATAAAATTTATCATCTCAATCAAATGTTGCAACAAAAATGAAAACAAATCTAGTTGTAAAACAAGTAAAGTAACGAATTAACTATTTTCACTATTAGTTGTTGCCTACATATGATTTGCAAGATTCAATCTCCATTCGTTAGCTTTCTTTCGCTGTTGATCTTGTGTCTGAGTGTCATCTCATTCAAAACTCTCATCTGTTTCATTTGTTGTGTCTTCATCCGGAGCTGGAGGAAATTCATCTGAACGACACTCACGTCGTAGAAAATTGTGGAGTCGCGGAGACGCTAAAACAAGTTCTGTTTGTGTTATGTATGAAAATGGTGGTGCTGTTTTGAATATTGTGAATCGTGACTTGAATACTCCAAATATTCGCTCAATTACATTTCTTAAGGAAGAATGTCGAAGATTGAACAACTTCCGTGCATTGGTAGGGTGATTTCCTCCTCCGCCAAAATATTTAAAATGGTATCGAGTACCTCAAAACAGTGTTAAAAACTGACAACGATTTGGAAAACCACAATCCCCCAAATAATATTTACCTATTCATGAAAATATTATTTAATCAGTATGCATTTATGTGTTGCATAAATTATAATAATTAGAGACTCAATTTAAGAAGAAAAAATATATACCTGATGGCACTTTGAGCCCATTTGGTCTAGAAAGTGCATCGTTTAAAACTTTTGAATCATGGACAGAACCCTCCCATCCACTAAGCACGTAAATGAATTGTAAATCAAAATTGCATACAGCTAAGACATTTTGAGATATAGTCCCATGGCAATTCCGGTAACTACTCACTTCACGCCCAACTACCATTGCTGGAATATGGGTCCTGTCTATCGCTCCAATGCAATCCTTAAAAAATGAATTACAAAAAAAATGAATAGTTATTGGTGTATAATTAAGATTGTCTAATGTCTGTTAATTTTCATAACTTACCTTAGAGTAAGGATAAAACTTTGTGCTCTCTCTGATGATGTATGGTACTATACGGACTCTAGTTTAGCCATAAAATGTGGTGTTATTGTATTCAAAGCCTTCAACACTTTGTTGAAACTTCTACTAATAGAGAAGTGTGATTGTTGAAACATCATTTTAGGTTCACTATAACGATTGTTTTGACCAACAAGTAGCAAAAAGGTTGCAACACAAATATACCTTGTGTCTCTTAAAGGTGTTTTCTCTTTTAGGATAAAACATAATTTCCGAAACACATCTAGGTACATTCTGAATAGCATTCTAAACTTATGAGGGTGATCATCCAATATTTTGTGCATGTACTCTTATCCATTAGAAGTCACTGATCGACAAGTCAATGGACGTCCAACAGGTTCCCCACCAAGGTCCAAAAAGAGATTATGTATCACATAAATAATAGCTTTTATTGCTAATAATAATATTTTAACTGCCTCATAAAATTCTACTTCATCTTCATTGGCTCCATACAGATCCATTTCAGACATAGCTTAACAAGAAAAAAACAAACAAATAGGGTACGTCAATTCCCATTTATAATAAAATCATTAAAATATATGGTGTAATTCAAAACACACAAGTCTCAACTACTAATAGAAATTCAAACTATTTAAAACAAATGCCTAAAAGAGTATTTATTGCTAAAATAACTCTTAAGACTACTACATTTGTTTAGAGATGATCCAACTTAAACGTTGTTTAGGAGTCATCTTCAAGAGGAAATCTTGCTTTGATTTGGTGCTAAGCAAATCAAGAGCCATAAAGCATTCATCATCAGTTAGTCCCGGCGTCTCCTTCATGGCATCCAAAAGGTCACTCTCTCTCGATTCTCTCTTCTCCATCAGGCCACAAATTCACAAAGCTCTTGACAATTCTTTCAA